CAACAACAAACAAAAACCTGTGAGGTATGCTGGCACATAACTTCAATTCCAGTGCTCAGGAGGCAGAGGCAGGTGGATCTCTGTGAGTACAAGGCCAGCCTGGTCTACAGAGTGAGTTCCAGAACAGCCAGGGTTACATAGAGAAACTCTGTCTCAAAAAATATAAAACAAAACAAAAAAATTGTGTGTGGTAGATGCGTGCGTTCGTGCGTGGGTGTGTGAAGTTGTATGTCTCCATGTACACTGCTGAGGGCAGGAAAGATATCTGGTATCCTGCTCTATCATTCTCCACTTATTCCCCTAAGGCAAGGGCTCTCCTTGAGCCTGGCAGCCAGCAAGTCCTGGTGATCTGTCTCTACCCTCTACAGTGCTGTGTATTTGTTCAACTTTTCAAATGGGCGCTGGCAATTTGAGCTTAGTAGTAGCCAATACTCTTAACCAGTGAGCCATTTCCCCAAACTCCTGTTTTCTGTATTTCGCATGGGCTCTGGGGATCAGACTCGGGTCCTCATGTTTGCCTGGTGAGCGGTTTGAGAACTGAGCCAATTCCCATTCTTCATGCAATTGTGAGGCATTTTACTTCCACATTTACCACACCCCCCACAACACATAAATGTTCCATTTGCTTTAAGCAGTCAAAACCTTCTTAAAGAATAAAGAGGAGCTGGAGAGATGGCTCAGCAAAGAGCAATGGTTGCTCCTCTGGAGGACCTGGGTTCAATTCCCAGCGTATCGTGCAGTGGTTCTGGGCTCAATCCCCAGCACTGCTGGGGGAGAATACACAAAAAACAGAGTCCTAATGGATGGGTGGTTAAGGAAAGACACACATCAAGGGTGTGGGTCCCAGGGGGGATGACTCGGTGGAGTGCTTGGCTAGCACATGTGCAGCCCTGGGTTCCAGTACTTGGGAGGTAAAGGCAAGAAGAGTTGAGAGCTCAAGACCATCCTGGCTACACAAAGAAGCTGAGGCAAGTCTGGGGTGGGGGCTGGGGGTCACAGAGAATGTCCCTGTTTTATCTTCCAGCTCCAGGGACAGCTGACATGGCAGTATTGGCAGAGGGAGTGGTAAACTGGGCGACTCCACTGAGGCTCACAGGAAGAAGTAAGGCGGGGGAAGCAGGTTTAAACCTGGGATCATTTGAAGGATTCCAGCAAACACCGGACATCAGTTGCCCCTGTGTGTCCAGACAAAGCTTTGGGCTAGCAGTTCTCAACCTCCCTACTGCTATGACCCTTTAACACAAGTACCTCATGTTGTGGTGGGTGACCCCCCAACCATAGTCATTTTCATTGTTACTTCATAAGTATAATCTTGCTACTGTTACGAATCATTGTAAATATATGATATGCAATCCCTGTGAAAAGGTCGTTCAACCCCCAAAGGGTTTGTGGCCCACAGGTAGAGAACCGATGCTCTAGGGTGAACTGATCAGTGGTCTAGATTGTGAGCCCAAAGAGAGAGGTGGCTGAGGGGTGAACTTCACCTTAACAGGTCACTCCAGAGAACAGACCTCACATTTGGGTCAGAGAGGCATTAAAAAGAAAAATTCTTACAGGGCTGTTGTCAGGCCTACTGACCTGAGTTCAATTCCTGGGAGGAAAACCAACTCCTGTAAGGTATTCTCAAAGCTCCACATGTGTGATGAAGCTGCTCACTGCAGTCTTCTATATACAACAAACGTTTACTGTGCATTGGTCACATTTAACAGAGCCAATGATCACTGCCTGGGAAACCTAATGGCTTGATTACAGAAAATAACACACTTTAAATAGTTTGCTACCACTGTTTCCAAGCATGTATCAAATCAATCCATCTTTGTATTGTATTGTGTTAAATGTTTGATTTTTAAAAAGATTTATTATGCATACAGTGTTCTGCCTGCATATTTGCCTGCAGACCAGAAGAGGGCACCAGATCTCATTATGGACGGTTGTGAGTCACCTTGTGGCAGCTGGGAACTGAACTCAGGACCTCTGGAAGAGCAACCACTGCTCTTAACTGCTGAGCCATCTCTCCAGCCCAAATGTTTGACTTTTTAAATTAAAAAACTTAATTGAAAAATATTTCAGCTTGGGCTGGAGAATTGGTTCAGTGATTAAAAACACCACCTCCTCTTGCTGAGGTCCCAGCACCCTATCAGGCGACTTGCAGCTGCTTATAACTCCAGTCCCAGGAGATCTGACACCCTCTGGTGGTACATGGCACACATAAACTCATATGGGCACACAACACACACGCACATAAGTTTTAAAATGTTTTAAAGGTGCTGCTCGAGTTGCATTTTTAAAAAATCATTATGATGGGGCTCGGGAGATAGTTCAGTTGCTAAAGTGCCCGACGACCCAAGTTGCAATCTCTAAAAGACACATTACAAAAAGGGAGACGTCAAAGGGCAACCGTCTGTTACCCCAGAGCTTACAGGGAATTGGGGGGTGGAGACAGGAGAATCTCCAGCAGCGCACAGCCTAGTCAGCCTGGCATATGCAGTGTGAGTGGAGATCCAACTTCAAAATGGAAAGTGAGGACCAACGGCTGAAGTTATCCACTGACTTCCACATGTGCACTGAGACATGACACACACACACACACACACACACACACACACACACACAAACACGCTTGCGCCCACGCACACCACAATCATTACAACAGAATTGCCAGTGCTTTCTGAAATGGCTCCAACATCTCTGCCATTTGTACTATGTATTTATGCAAAGTGAACGCTGAAGATTACCTATGTTCCATAGTATTTAGCTAAGATTTAACTAGATAAACTAGCACAACTGGTGGGTAGTGGCGGCGGCGCACACCTTTAATCCCAGCACTCGGGAAGCAGAAACAGGAGGATCTCTGTGAGTTCTAGGCCAGCCTGGTCTACAGAGTTAGTTCCAGGACAGCCATAGGTGTTACACAGAGAACCCATCTCAAAACAAACAAAAACAAAACCAAACAAACAAAACCAAAAAAAGCCTAGCACATCCACTTCATTAGTACATAACTTAGCCTTTTATCTTAAATAAATGGTGTAGTGGTGTGGATGAGATGTTGGGAGATGTCAGAGCTGTGAAATAGCTGCCCCAAAGGGCTGCACACAGTGAGTGGAACCAGCCCAGGAGATGTATATTGCACATTGCAGGCAGCAAGGCCGGAGGGGAGGAGTCACCGAAGCCCTTTGACCTGGGACATGGAGCTAGAGAACAGTTCCCCCTTATGGGTTTCAGTCTTGCTCTTTGATTCAGTGTTTTCTTACTGTTCTTTGAGTCCTCCCTTTCAGAACAATAATGTATATTCTGTACTACTACCTGTTGGAATTTGTACCTTGCTTTTTCATTTTTTAGGGGGTTATATATTGCCTTGAGTCTCAGAAGAGACTTGTAAGCAGTGTTGAGACTTAAAAGTCTATGGGGACTTTTGAAGTTGAACTACATGCATTTTGCAGTTTGACAGGACCCTGAGACTATGGGGGCCAGGGGATGGAACGGGATATCCCCCATAAGTTGGTCTCCAGTTGGTGATTCGGTCTGGGGAGTCTCTGGATGTGTGGTCACTTGTGGGAGGGGTTTTCAGAATTTAAAGACATGCACCATCTCCAGTTCTCACTCTGTTTCCTGTTTGCCCTCATCTTCTGTCCCAGCCTGCCGCTTGCTGCCAGGCTTCCCTGACACCATAGAAATCATCCCTCTGGAACCATCAGCCCAACACAAACCCTTCCTTTTATAAGTTGCCCCTGCCACAGCAATAGAACAGTTACTAATACAAATGCTAAAATTGTATGTATACCAAACAATGTCCTAAAATAAATTCATAATTCATTATCAACAAAGGCCTAGTGTATGTATCTATTTTGAATACTCAGGGCCACATAAATATTTCTCAGGCAAAAGGAGTCTAGAGTGAAAGGAGTTTGAAAAGCTCTGAGCTAGAGGTTAGGGTAATGGAGGCTGCTGATCAGAGGACGAATTTCCAACCTGAAGAACCATCTCTGAAGGCTAATGTGCGACAGGGGTGACAGGGATTATCACATACTTGTGATAACATCAGTATATTTGTCTTTCAGATCTTCACACTGTGAACCTTGAGAACACATACATTTATGAATTAAAACTTCAGGATAAAAACATAAATGTAGGATATATTAAGAGTAATAAGGAATCAGCAGGTGTAGTCTAAGTCAGAGATGGGCAGATTCCTATCCTAAGGATTGCTAACTAGCTTACCTGGTGAGTGCCAGATATGGGAACTTGTCTCAAACAGAAAAGTAGATGAGTCCTGCAGAAGGGCAGGTCAGAGTGTCCTTACACACACACACACACACACACACACACACACCCACACACACCAGACCCCACCCCAGCCCCCAAAACCCATGTCAAGTCAGAATCTACTTTAAGGCTGGGACTCTCTTGTTCCCAGTTCAGTTCCAGCCTGGACTGCTCGGTGAGATGCACATGTTCCCCCTTGAGGTCCCTCACCAACACAGGATGGCTCCACTTCCATGTCAGGATGCCATTTACGCTTCCTTTCCCTGTAGAAGCTTCTCCTGCCCCCCAAAGGTCCTCTTGATCGCCACCTCAGCAAGGACACTTGACACAGCAGCCTGAAGTGTGCAGTGATTATGGAGCAGTGTGATGTGTTCAGCTTCACTCCAGCTTTAGAACGGCTCAGAGAACAGGCAGGGGCAGAACCAACATGCCTCCTGAGGAACTCAGTAAGGAGTTCTACCAGCACTCTTTGAGGCTGTGACCCTCTGCCTCTCATGGCCGGCACTGCCAGGGTTGCTTTGTCATCCAGACTCTGCTGGGGGCAGATCCCATAGTTGGGGGCCTGGCTGCTGGCCCAAGATCTGAAGGACTAGCTATGGCCAGACTATCAGGGTTTGTGACTTCTGACAGGTGAAGGGTTAGACTGTCCTCTACCAATCTACCCTTCCTACACACACACACACACACACACACACACACACACACACACACACAGAAAGTTTGAATACCAAGGCAGCTGTAAAGAAGGAGGAGGAAGTTTATTGTATTGAGCAGAGCTTACTCTCATAATAAAACCAGCATTCCTTTGGACTAAGACATTCACAGACATTAACCTCACGCTAAGTGAGGTTTGAATGGAAAGTAGGACACAGTTTCCTTAAAAACCCAAAGCTTTGTCTCCATTTTCCTTTTTTTTTTTTTTTGGCTGGAAAACAGAGTGCTTGGAAGTTTTTTGTTCCAAACTGCCAACCTTAGGTTAGTGTAGTTTGCATTTTGGTTAAGGGAATGGTGCCCATTTCTCTGTTGAGCTCAATGGGGACAAGTAAGGCAGTGCAGAAAGCACAGGCGGGAAGAGAACATGGCTCCAAGTCCTACTCATGAGTCACAGACCCTCCACATTGCTAGGGACCCAGAGACATAGGAGTGGTCGCCTGCTTTCTGTCCCCAACTTCATGGACTTCCTCATGGCATTGCTGATGCTTGGTGCTGACTCTATCACCAGCTGCATTCAATAACAACATGAGAAGGAGACTCTGCCCAATTCATGGACTCACCACTGCTATGGAACACAGAAGGGCTCTTTCTGTTATTATGGAGAGACAAAACACCAGGAATGAATGACAAATGAGAACCTTCCAGACATTTGGAAATTTCAGTAACTTCCTGAGCGACAATGTTTAATGTGCTTGAACGCGATCTGGCATGTGAGAAGTCCTCAGTAAGACTTTCCTCATTACCTTAAGGCAGAGAAGACAAGTGCTCGTGAATTTCAACAACAACAAAATGCTACTAAACAAGAAACACGATGAGCCTTTTGATCGACTCTGGTCATCACACAATATCCCCAGGAAGCCAAGTATTTGACAACTCACTAAAAAGACGGAGCCCTGGAAGTCACAGTAAAGAATCTGTCCATGTCACCAGGACATTTCCCACTAGACAGCTTCCCATGAAATCTATCCAGCAAAGTGGACCAGGGCTCCCTCTCAACTCCTCAGGCAAACGATTTCTTTTAGTCATGCAGGTCTAAGAAGTACAATTTTAGAAAAAGATTTAGTCATGGAGGAGATAGGACACTGTACTCCTGACCATGTGACAGCTGTCTGGCCAGTTCTAAATCACAGCAGTCAAGGTTACTTCCTGTTCCTTTTTTCTTTCTATATCACTGGCTCTCTCTCAGCCTAAGAGCATATGTCAGGCCATCACCTCAGCAAGGTTCAGAACATTCACAACATTTCCAAGGGAATGGAGGAAATCCAGCTCTGCCATGGAGCCTGCCTCTGACCAGACTGGCCCGGCACAGTGCGTGTGCACCTGCAGACAAACATGTTCAATCAGAAATGCAGCTTCTGCCAGACTAACAATGTCAACTGTCTTATGAAGCTAACACACCACTACTGTCAACTTTGCATTAAATCCAGGATGCTGGAGAGCTGTGCCCCATCATCCCTAGATACCAATCAAGTGCCACTTTCCACAGAACACAGAGACCGACTCACACCGGTGCCTGTAATTCTGGCATGTCACAGTTCACACTACCCTACTGATTCAGAAAGGAAACTTTCTACTACTACTACTACATGACAAGAAAAAAATTATATATACATGCACACCAAGAACAAAAACAAACTTTCCAGAAGCTTGGACCACCCATGTGATCAGTTATTTCCTGCTTCTTCGAAAGTCGTTTCAGTCACAGTATGCCTTTTCACGGTGGAGATATCAGATGAGACCAACAGGCACACCCTTCCTAGGGCATTTGCCTAATTTGTAGAGATGGTTAGTCCACAGGAAGCAAGGAAGAAGCTGACAGAGGAAGGCCTGGACAACTTTAGACGAAAGCTGTGCCTGCCTGGCCTATCCAGCATCAACTATTAATATGACTATGTCGGGGTGGTGACACAAGAAGGACTGAAGGACCACAGAGGACACTCTGCACCTTGCTTTCCCATAGAGGAAGTGTAAATGACTTGGTACAAAGAAGGGAAGTGGCCATTGGGGCCCACATTTAAAAGCACATCCCTGTGACCTGACTATTTCTGGCTCTTACAGGCTCCCACTACACTGGGAACACCGTGTTTCTACCTACAGTTGAGGACAGCAGCAGTGGCATCCCTGAACGTAATACAATGTGGACATAAAGCCTAAACAAAGGCTGGCTCTAAGTTAACTCTTGGATTTGAAAATAGGGGGGAAAAATCAATTACTTGACATATGTGTGGTGAAATCTTTATTTTAAAAATTCTTGTTGCAAGCCGGGCGTTGGTGGCACACGTCTTTAATCCCAGCACTCAGGAGGCAGAGGCAGGCGGATCTCTGTGAGTTCGAGGCAAGCCTGGTCTCCAGAGCGAGTGCCAGGATAGGCTCCAAAGCTACACAGAGAAACCCTGTCTCGAAAAAACCAAAAACCCAAAACCAAAACCAAAATTCTTGTTGCAATGTAGAGTGTGTTGATGTCATATGCGAGCTAGGAAGCTGGCTATGGAACATGTTTATCTCAAAGTGTCCTCCAAGGCCCTTTGTCTGGGGATGAGTCAAAATATGACATCCTGGAACATAGCTGGGAAGTCACTCATTCCCAGATCCTTCCCAAGGTCGGAGGAATCAGCCTAGCCCTGCTACCAAAGTGCCCGCAGTGGGAAAGGGACCTGCAAGCTCAGCCTGGAGAAAGGGAACTCCAGCTGCCTGCTTCAGCATCCCCCGCTGGTTTCTGCAGGATGTTCTGAGCACCGAATCTGACGATGGTACTTTAGGTTTGCTCTTTGTTCTTTTACTTGGAAGCCTTACCTGAGGGATCACTCTGCTCTGCCTAGGACACTAAGTGGGGAGCTCCAGCTGGTGGCTGAGGTAAGGGGTTTCTGCTGGTCATGTGAGTTCCCAATCGATGATGTTTTGCATCTTTCACTATTTATTACTTAATAACTGCCCATTCAAAACCCAACTATGGCTACTGAAGATTCTTCTTCCTTGGAACACATGTATTGCCTCGCTCAGATGTGCAGGGACTTATCAGTGTGTGTTCACTCTTCATATTTACTCTTTTATTTGGGGTGGGAGTGGGGGTGCAGTCCTGGGATGGAACACAGGGCCTTGAGCTTGCTAGACAAGCACTTTGTCTGCCACTGAACCACACACCAGCTCCCTTCTTATTTTTTAAAGGCAGGTTAAAGAGGGAAGAACAGCTCCCGTGAGCTAGAAGGCAGGCCAGTATCCAGCAATGCTCTAACTCTCTGCTGCAGATCCCTGATTCCTGGGCAGAGACGATACCACACACCCGTGCAGCCAGGTTAACACCACATCACAGGCTCCCCAGCCCAGGATGCTCCTGATCAGGTGAGGCTGGGCTGTGGCCATGGACACACAAAGCAATCACAGCTGCTGCTTCACACAGGATAGGCTCCAAAGCTACACAGAGAAACCCTTAAAACTGGACCAGGCCTTGGGCATGTCTTAAAAGCCAAAGGCAACCCACAGAGCCAAATAAAAGGGGAAAAGACAATATAGGAAACCGAGTTCCATAGGTCTGAGAGCATCTGGGAAAGAAAAGTCCAAGGACACGGTCTGAGGGGCAGACAGGATGGTGGCCATCCAGATGGAGGCTGAGTACACTGAGATGGATCACTGAGGGACTCAGTACATCTGTGCCCAGCCAGGAAACTTATACCAATAGTTTTTTAGAAAGTAGGAAGAAAAAGCAAACATTTTCATAAATATAAAAATTGTTTACAAAACAATCACCTAGAAAGTTCACTGTGAATAGAATAAAGCTTCCTTTAAATTAAGCCACAATGGACTGAAAGAGAATGGCCAATTTTTTTGTCTTCTACCTTTGAACACCACAAAACTCTTCCTCTGCCCATCATTTCCCCAACCCTCACCCAAGCCACCCCAGTTCTCCTGAAGACTGATTTCTTAGCAACTGAGCCAACCCTGAAGACACATGATTATCGGTTGGGCTCAATTCAACAATGAGCCTAATGCTTGGGAAGAGACCGTGGGGCAGGAGATGTGAGAAGCATGCTGGCATAGACCTTGAGGCATGGACCTTGGATGAAGCATCTGCCGGCCTGACCTGTGCAGGGTGGGCATCTGCCGTGCAGCGAGGGCTGCAGGTAAACTGAGGTAAGGAAGGACATGGTGGCTTTTCTGGCCAGCTTCTGAGCCAGGGCAGCAATGTGTGCTCTTGGATGTGGGCACCAAAGACTCAGTTTCTTTCAATTGCTGCCACCATTTCTCCCTCTGGTGTGAAGGGAGTCCCAGAAGATCAGCCATGTGTCTTCCTCTGAGGTACAAATCCAACAGAGCCTTAGCCCCAAAGATCCAGCACCCACTAGGGTGCAGTAGTCTAAATCAATAGGTGTGGTACACCTGCCTAATCAGTTTATCAGCAGTTGTATCGACAGATCAGAAAAAAAAAAAAAAAAAAAACCCTAGCATTTAGTACAAAAACTGTCAGATGGTCGGATTTCCTATCTTCCTCCAAAGATCATAATTCTTCATGTTTCTGAGGTCCTATGGAAAAGAACAAGAGAATATAAGACTTAAGTCATCAACACAGTATGAGCATTGTTCATAACACACCCCACTGTAGCTCTCAGGTGGAGGGAGCTACAAGAGCTTGGGATTTGGCAATTTTGTATTAAAGTCTAAAAGCAAACATAAGAGAAAGGACCCATTCTTAGTTTTAAGAGCCGCTGACTGGAATCGTGACTACATTGCTTTCACAAGGGCAGCACTGGCTCTCAGCCAACATACTTTCCAGAGATCTTCTGCACTTCTGCATTGGTTTGTGTGCCAGGGTAGCTGTTTTCTCTGATCCTTAAATTATTTTAATGTTACTAATTGAGATGTAACAGAAAAGTAAGTTTCTTTGTGTGTACTGTTTTCCCTTGTATTGAATTATTTAAGATGCTTTCTCCACAGAGGAATTGCTGTGTATTGAAGCATTTTCTGTCATAATCGATTTTTATTTATTATGTGCACATGCCATGGTGCACATGTGTAGGTCAGAGGACAACTGTGTGGAGTCGGTTCTTTCCTTCACTTTTACCTGGGTTCTGGGGATCAGACCCATGTCATTATGAGGTTGTGCAGCAAGCATCTTGCCCACTGAGCCCAGTGATACAGGATTTAGAGGCTCCCAATGATAACAGACACACCAGTGGTACAGGATTCCAGAGGCTCCCGATAACAGACACTATGCTTTAAGCAAAGGCTTTCTAGAGCCACACAGCTTCAGCCAGGCTCATTCACCAGAGTCTCACCACTGTCTCCTCCATGTACAGCACTACCAATATATTGATATTTTTTGATATAGCAGATACTAATGGTAACTCTAACTTGATTTCTGTCTCCTTATCCCTATATGGCTCTTCTTTTGAATATTTTGTTCATATTCTTTGTACACTTATCTATAAATTTCATAATGAATTTCATTTTTTTAAAAAAAGTATTTGTTTTCATCTTTTATGTGTATCGTGTTTTGTCTGAATGTATATTGGTATACTACATGCATGCTGAGCCCACAAAGACTTCAAGAGATGGCAGCAGATCCCCTGGAATAGGAATTACAGTGCTTTTAACCATCTCTCCTGCTCCAAATTCGAGTTGTTTTTATTGTGACCATGTGACTGCATAGCCTTCTAGATAGGATACTTACTATCCTGGCAGTCTCCATGGATTGTGAAGTCACTCAAGACCTAAGCTCGGCATTTGCTTCTTAGGATAAGTTTAAAGTAGGAGAAATATTAAAACCCAAAGTCCAACTTATTCATTATTTTTGTAGGCTGGTTTCAAACTCACTATGTAGCTGAAAAATGAGTTTAATGCTTGATCTTCTCGCTTCTTAGCTTTGGGTAAACAGCTAAGACTTGTATGGATGGGCAAAGGTATTAAATGTTTATTTGTAAGTTTTAGCAGCTTCAAAGACAAAACTCCTACTCTGACTGTAAACAATTTGAAAGAATTTTGTACAGAGACCCATGTCTAGCCTTGGAAGCACTAGGAACGAAACCCAGGGTCTTGCACATGCTAGGTAAGTGTTCTACCACAGAACTATATCCAGCCTTCAGAAAGACAGGTCTTACCACAGACATTATGCTCTTTCAGCTTGCTGCTACCCAATTAAAATGACATTGTATGTGTGTTTGCTTTTTTAACTTTGTTCTTGTTTTGAGACAGGATCTCACTATGTTTCCTTGACTGGCCTGGACTCACTACATAATCAGGCTGACCTCAAACCTGTCTGTCTCCAGAGTGCTGAGATTAAAGGTATGTGCTGCCATGCCTAGTGATGTGCTCCCCTCTCTAAATAAGTGAACGTATTATGAAGCTGTAATAAAATGATATGGAATAAAAGTTGAAATTTTATGTAAAAAGTCCGATATCTTTTTTATCTTCAATTTAAATACACTCCATCGTCACGTCAATATTCCTGTTTTACACTATTTTCTTTCAAATGAGTATATATTTTGTTTTGATCTAAATTTATTCATTTAGTACCTTGGCAGATTTAATGAAAACACACACACACACACACACACACACACACACACACACACACACACACACCAGAAACCAAGAATTACTTATTCAAGGCCAGGCACACACTTACTCTGTGTCCTCTCTTGTTCCTTCTCCTTTTGGAAGAGGATCTGCAGCTGCTTGATCTCCTGATCATAGTCTTGCCACTCGGGGACGATTCGCACAGCAGCTTCCAGTTTGGGCTCTTTAGTCATGGGATTATTACACTGAAAACACAACAAACACACCTCAGTGGAGCTAAAGAAATGGCATACTATACAGAATTCAAAGGAGTTTCCAGTGGGCATGGATGAGACAGAGGAAAGAAAGATCAGGATGTCAAGGTTAGGCCAGTTACACAGAAAGATACTCTCAAACCCAAAGGCAGCAAAGTCTGCAGGCTAAATGGAAACCCTTCCAGGCACAGAGATGGAATGGAAGACAAGGAGTGACTCAGCAGAAGTGGCTCTGCCAGCTGCATGGGGATCTGGCTTCTCATGGCAAGCAAAGAAGAGCCAGGCTGAAATGACCAGGACGTGCTTTGCAGCTCCAACCACAACTTAGAGGAAGTCAACTCAAACCAGAGTCAGCAACCAGCCAGGCACTGTCACAGGTCACAGGGCAGGGAAGGCAGCTCACCAAGTCGATGGTCTTTGCCCGCTTCTTAGAAGCATCATCGCACCACGTCTCACACCACAGCCACTCCTGAGGGAGGGATTTGATGGGCACCTGATGGATCATGTTATTGGGCAAATCCTGTTTGGTAAAGAAAATAAAACACAACGATCTAAAACTCAGAAAGAGATTTAAAGAAGCAACCAAAAAATGTTAGCTTAAAATCCAACCAGAGGGCTGGAGAATGGCTCAGCATTTAAGAGTCTACTGTTCTTTCAGGGGACGAGAGTTCAGTTCCTAGCACCCAAGGAGGGCAGCTCACAGCCACCTGTAACTCCAGCTCCAGAGAACCTGATGCCCCTTCCTGGCTTCTGCAGGCATCTACACACATATGCACATATCCACACACAGACATGCACACACATAATTAAAAGTCAGAAACAAACAATAATACAACCTCAGCTGAGGGCCTAAGAAGGGGACTACAAAGTTAAAAGCATTCGCAGCTCTTACAGAGCATCAAGGTTGGTTCCCACAAACTATATGGCAGCTCACAACCTTCTGTATCTCCCGTTCCAGGGGATCTGGTGCCCTCTTCCAGCTTCCTTCAGCACTAGGCACACACATGGTGCATATACACATATGCAGGCAAACACTTACACATATAAAAATCCAAAAACAACACAAACAAAATTCAACTAGTTTTTCTGTATGAAGGCAAATTAAAAAAAAAAAATCTCATTCTTTTGTTTTTGTTGAGACAAAACTTGCTCAAGCTGGTCTAGGACTTCTGAAGTTCTCCTGCCTGGCATCTGTTCGCCTCTGAAGTTTAGCTAGGGAGAAGAGATAGTTCTTATAGCTTATAATTTTCCAGAAGAGAAGCTCTGACTCTCCTGTCTGAGCCCCATTCCCAGTGTGGAAGCCCGTAAGTCTCCACAATAAAATGCTCCATTATCCTAACGTGTTGGAAAAAAAATCCAACATATCAATAAAATAAAATGCACAGAAATGATTGACTGTGATGCTTGTAAAGAATGACGAAGCCAGGTGGTGTTGGTACACACCTTTAATCCTAGCACTCAGGAGGCAGAGGCAGGTGGACCTCTGTGAGTTTGAGGCCAGCCTGGTCTACAGAGCGAGTTCCAGGACAGGCTCCAAAGCAGTACAGAGAAACCCTGCCTTGAACCCCAATCCGCCCTCAAAAAAAAAAAAGAATGATGTAGTGTAGTTAGCTGGGTGTGGTGGTATACAATTGCAATCCCAGCACTCTGGAGGCAGACAGGAGAGTTGACAGTCACTGAGTTCCAGGCCAGCCTGCCTATGTGAGAACCTGTCTTCAAACCAAACCAAGTCGGATCAAATAGTATGTTGCAAGCAACCATCACTTGTACTCTTACGTTTAATGGAGTAAGATTAATGATTCCTATGAAGGCCTGAATAAGAATGGAGCCCATAGGCTCATAGGTTTGAGTACTTGGTCCCCACTTGGTGAACTGTTCCACCAACCAACCAAATGGCAGCTCACAACCACCTGTACCGGGAAGGATTAGGAGATGTGACCTTGTTGGAAGAGGTGTGTTCCTGAGGGCAGGCTTTGAGGTTTAAAAAGACTTACATCATTCCCTGTGTCTCTCTCTTTCTCTCATTTGTAGTTCAGATGTTAGCTCTCATCTGTTCCTGCTACCATGTTTTTGCTCCACCATCAAGGACTGTAACCCTCTGAAAATGTAGGCCTAATTAAACACTTTATCAATTGCCTTGGTCATGGTGCTTTGTCACAGAAAAAGAAAAGTAACCGAGATAATTCCCTTTATCAAACTTGTCAACAAAACAAACATTAAACTTAAATTATCAAATATCAATCTTGATGTATCCGAGTTTAGTTTCAGACACTGCTGAACAGGCACTACCACAATACAAAGAACAGAGTGTCTATTTACGTTGTATTCTGCGGGAAGAGCAAATTCTACCACTAGTACTGGTAGACAAGGTAAATGAGGCTAACTTGAATCCTGAAGACAGCTGAGGAGCTGAATGAGTTCAGTGAGTATGTGTTCTGTATATACGAGGCCCAGTTCAATCATTATTACAACACCACCAAAAACAAAAGAAAAGTATATGCTGAAGACATCAAAGAGCAAATGAGGGAATAAATAATCAGACCAGAGAACAGAGACCCATGAAGAAAACTGCAGAATCTGGGGCTCTTTCTCCAGTATCATAAGCTACTAAGTAATGCTTTCTAAGGATTTCAACAACCAATCAACCTCAGTAACAAAGATGCACACAAAAGCTTGTAGTTGATAAGAGTTCCAAGTAGACCAGCTTTGGATACTAAAAGAACATACCCACAACTTCAGAGTGAACAACTGTGGTGGTTTGAATGAGATTTCCCTCATAGACTCAGGGACTTGAGGAAAGTGGTGTGGCCACTCTGGAGGAAGTATATCAGTAGAGGTAGGCTTTGAGAGTTCATAGCCTTGCCCCACTCTTTGCTTGGAGTTTCCAGTTGAAAATGCAAGCTCTCCAGGAGCCTACTGCCATGCCTCCCCTACCATTGCGGACTCTCCCTTAGGATCTATAAGCCCAAATGAACTCTTCCTTAAGTTGCCCTTGGTCATGTTGTCTTTGATGGGCCTGTTATTTGCTTTATTCAGGACCACCTCACACACGAACTCATAGAGACTGAGGCAGCACACACAGGGCTGGCGTGGGTCTGCACCAGTTGGGGTCCTAACCCTGAAAGGAGACGTGGACACAGCTCCCATCCCTAACCTAGAAGCTATCTCCAATTGATAACCTCTTCCAAATGGAAATTTAGTTTTCTCCAAGGAAGTCTCATTGGTGAAACAAATTACTCTGAAGGGTAGGCTGCATGCCCAGCAGGAGATGGCCAACAGGAAATGAACTCAATGGCATCTTTGGAGGTTCCCTGTCGCACAATGTGATGCCAGGGCTTTTTTAAATTTTATCTTACTTTTTATCACACACACACACACACACACACACACACACACACACACACACACTCACTCTCACTTTAACCCTACAGGTCATATATATATATATGACACTCTTTCCTTTTGTTTATTTGTCTGTTTTGTCTAATTTTAATGTGTTAGTTTTTGTTTTATCTTTTTATATTTTATTTTACTATTATCCCTTAGAAGCCTGTTTATTTTCTAATGAAGAGACAGAAAGTGAGTGGATCCAGATGTGAGGAGAGGTAACAAAAGAAAGGGAGAAAATGTCCTTTTATCTGGTAATGGATTAATATTCATAACATATAAAGAACTCCTGAAACTTCATAAACAAATAACTCTAAAATGGGTAACTGGCTTTAACAGGCCTTCTGTACATATAACATATAAATAACCAAACAGAAAGATAGCAGTATTATTTAAAAAATAAAAATAAAAACCACAAGGAGAACCAAGCACGGAAGCCCAAGCCTGTAATTGAACCACAGGAAGGTTTGACAGGAAAACTACAGAGTCTGAGGCTAGCACAGATCACAGATCACCCACACAGTAAGATTCTCCTTCAGACCCATTAGGGGAGCTATTTTTTAAATTAACCAAGTGTATGCGTTGTGTCCCACCCTCAGATGCTATGTATGGAGGTCAGAGGATAACTTGCAAGAGCCAGGTCTCTCTTTTCACCACATGCATATAAAGAGAAAGATACCAATACCTAATAGATTTATTTAAAACTATCAAAACATATCTAAATCATTTTGAAATCAGCAGTTGAGAATACAACATGTCATATATAAAACATTGTCACTGAAGTTAAATGATAATTTAGCATCAGAAATCCTGGAGGACAAAAGACTATGGGAAAGAATATTCAAGTCCTGAAAAGAAAAAAAATGTGTCCAGCAGGCCTTTTATGTATAGCAGAACTATTCATCAAAACTGAAAGAAAATTTTAAAGGAATCCTTCAGGCTAAAATGAAAGGTCACTAGACAGTAACTGAAATCCACATGTGTTAACAGAGTCCATAGGTAAATATAAAGAAAACATCTATGTATCTGATTTAAAATTAGACAATGCAAAAAGCATTTATAAATCTGGTTTCTTGTGTAATAGCCCTAGCTGTCCTGGAACTAGCTCTGTAGACCAGGCTGGTGTTGAACTCAGAGATCCACCTAACTCTGCCTCCAGAATGCTGGGATTAAAGGAGTGTACCATATCACAATGAACAACTAAAAATTTTTTAAAAAGGCAGGTGGATCAAGACCAGTCTTGTCTACAAGGCAAGTGATACTTAGTCTCAAAACAATAAGAAAAAAAGAAAGAAAGAAAGAAAGAAAGAAAGAAAGAAAGATAGGAAAAGGAAAAGATTGACAGTAGATACCCAAAAATACCTAAAATTACAATTTTGGGGCTGGGTAGAAGGCTCAGAGGGTAAGAACACTGGCTGTTCTTCCACAGGACCCAGCATGGTACCTAACAACTGTCTGTTAACCCAGTTCCAGGGGATCAGACTCCCTCTTTTGGATCCTGGGCACATTGCACACATAGTGCATAGACACACATGCAGGTGAAACACCCATACACAAATAAATCAACCAATCAATAAAAAGCAAACCCAAACAAAACAAACCTATTATTTTACTTCTGAAAATGCTCGCTATTTGGAAATGTATTCAGCAAACCTTCCTGAAAGTTTCTGACATGAGGAGGGGAGTCAGGATTAGGAAAATTTAATACTGTATTATATAAGTTCTGAGCCATTTGACAGTCTCAGGCCTCCTCAGATCAGATATAAACCACACACACACACACACATGCACACACATACGTACATATTTTCCATGAAGAAACTGTTCAGTTCTGAGAGAAAATGAGACACAAATACTACTTCATTTTCTGACACACAATGGCATGACTGTATATAAAACTGTCCATAGTCACTTACTTGATCAAGATTTGAAAGACTGTTGGGATCCTGACTCAGACCTTGGTACTGTCCCCTGAGTCTGTCACCAGCAGCTATTTTCCTAAATTTCTTCAGATCCACGACATATAGTGCACTGTAACAAGAAGAGACACTTGTTACAGCCAAACCACAGATTTATGCCAACAACAAACCAAACCAAACAATGGAATAGGTCATGAGCCAGATGCTGCAAGTGTCACTAGAGGGTGGGCTGGAGGACAGCAGCAGAGGAGTGTGCATCCTTCAGAGAGGGTCAGACCCTGCAGGCCACGCTCTGCTGTGACAGCTCTCTCTGACTAGCTTTTTATTTTGTTGTCTTACAAGGGAATTAATTAATGAGGCAAGATTTCTAGCTAACTCAGAAGATTTAGTAATAAAAATCATTGAAACTGATAAATAACAACCCTTTGCCAAAGCTATCCTGATTTCTTAAATGTGGGTGGGGTCAGTGTTACAATCTTTCAGGCCAGGAAACAAAGTATAAAACTGAAATCACGCCTTTAATCCCAGCACTCAGGAAGCAGAGGCAGGCGGATCTCTGTGAGTTTGAGGCCAGCCTGGTCTCCAGAGAGAGTGCCAGGATAGGCTCCAAAGCTACACAGAGAAACCCTGTCTCGAAAAACAAACAAAAAAACAAAACAAAAACTGAAATCACTCTACTTCATCATTCATCTCTATATTATTTTTTTAAAAGGATGTATTTAGGGAGCTGAGGACTGGAATCAGAGTGAAAAGCACTGGCTACTCTCCCAGAGGACCAGGGTTTGGTTCCCAGGATTCACATAGTGGCTCACAACTGCCTGTAACTCCAGTTTCAGGGGATCTGACATCTTCTGGCCTTCACGCAGGCAAAACACTCATACACATAAAATAAGTAAGTCTTGTCTTTTAAATTTTATTTTTTATGTGTAGGGGTGTTTTATCTACATCTGTGTCTATGTATCACATGCATGCAGTGTTTACACAGGCCATAAGGCATCAGATGCCTTGGAACTTGAGGTATAGACAGTGGCACGCCACACTTGGGTGCTGGGAATTGAATCTAGGTGCAGGGGAAGAGCAGCCATCTATCTCTAAGCCATCTATCTCTCCAGCCCTGAATTATTCCTGGTATATGCCTCGCCTTCAAATCTTCCAAATTGCATTTCTTCCAGAAGATATGGAGTATCCACTAGAAATGAATAAATGCATATATTGATTGTTGGTGGTGGGTTTTTTTTTGTTTTGGTTTGATTTTTTGAGACAGGGTCTTACTTTGTAGCTCTGGCTGTCCTGGAACTCACTATGTAGACCAGACTGGCCTTAAACACACAGAAATCTGCCTACTTCTGCCTCCTAAGTGTTGGGATTAAAGGCATGTGCCACCATGCCCAGCCCATACACTGACCCAAGAGGTTACAAATGTGGTTGAAATAGGGGGAAAAAAATGTATTTCATAGATTATGCATTAGCACACACTGTAACAGGAAACTAGGACCAACATACTGCAGTATATGCAGCTAAGCAAAGAAATAACATCTCTTTATATATAGGTATAAGAGCTATAAGATGACACTTTTAAAAAGCTCAAGTTACAACATAGTGTAAGGAGGAGAGGGGTTTTGTTTGTTTGTTTGTTTGTTTGTTTTGTTTTTCGAGATAGGGTTCTCTGTGAAGCTTTGGAGCCTATCCTGGCAGTCGCTCTGGAGACCAGGCTGGCCTTGAACTCACAGAGATCTGCCTGCCTCTGCTTCCCGAGTTCTAGTATTAAAGGCGTGCACCACCAATGCCCGGCCGAAAGTATATTTTGAATCAAAAAGGGATATACATTCACAGTTGTTTCTGAGAGAATTAAACTCTGGAAGGACAGAATATAAATAAGAGGGGTTATCTGTTGAGGGGGATGGATTAAACTAAAGACATACTAGGCCATATTTCCCTTTAGGCCATACTAATATAATATCTATTCACTGATTCAATTCACAAAGTTAAGAAAACCCAGACAGCATTATAGGAAGTGATCTTTTGATACCTGATATGATATTTGCGTCCAGCCAAATGACTGGCCCAGTATCCTGACTTCCAGAACCGGTAGCCATCCATTTCTCTTCTGCTATCACAGAAAGGAGTGTAACCATACGGGGCACCATCCAGATTGAAATCCCTTAATTCTTTCAGATCTGTTCGTACAATCTGCAGTAAAGAAAGTCAAAATACTTGTTAACCAACATACAGGTAACTCTCAGACATTCCTTAAAGTAGACTATATTATACAAGGCAGCAGGAAGGCAACTGGATGAGTAACAGCCCAGGCTCTAGAATACAGCCTGGATTCCTCCATTGTTACACTTCAATCTGAAATGATCCCCACAGACTCATGTTTTGAGTAGTTGGTCCCCAGCTGGTGGGTGGTGCTATTTTGAAGGCTGTGGAGCCTTCTGAAGGTTGGATCTGGCTAGTGAAAGTCTCTAGGGGCAGGTCCTTGAAGTTTGTAGCCTGGCCTTACTCAAGCTTCCATTCTCTACCCTTGGCCTGTTGTCATGGGGACAAGAAGTCACTTCAGGAATTATCATCATCCCCACCCCCGCCACCACAACAGACTGCACCCCCTGAGACTGCAAGCCAAAACAAATCTCTCCTCCCTTGAGTGGCTTCTGTTAGGTGTTTGGTCAGAGCAATGAGACAAACTCTAACACAGAGAACTGAGAGGGAACACACTCTGAAGGATGGAACCTGATGTGGCTTGCAGGCCATTCAAGCTGGTTTGTGGAAGAGTTTGCAGATGCAGGCTAGAGAAGCACTACAGTGCTGTAAACAGAGCTTCGAGGGCCACTCTGGTGGGAGCCTAAAACTAGAAGGTCAGAGACATGGAGACATCAAGATGGTGCTGACAGGCTTCAGATGGACCCTATGTTCTGAAAAACCGAGTCAGGATCAACTCAAAAGTAATGAACCTACGTATTTAACACGGGGAATTTCAAGACTGTCATATTTTCAGGCTGTGGCATGGTTAGTAAGCTCCCTGCTTTGGGTCAGATGTCCAGCAAGCAGGGCAACCAGGAGATGAGAAGGACAACAATAGGATAGTTTAGCAGTGAGGAGAAAGCAGCTGAACTGTTAAGAAGAGCACCACCGTGGAGAAGGTGTGCCAGACAAGTATCTGCAGCATTCCTTGTTATAAGAACCAAGCATTTCCCCTGAACTTCATTTATCACCCATGCCAATTACACCCATCTCAGCCTGATGTGGTAGCACAGGCCTGGAGTCCTAGTACTTGAGAGGCAGAGACAGAAGAACAATTTGGACAATATAGAAAGGCTCTGTTTCAAAAATCAATGAATGAACAAATAATAAAATATCTAACTAAATAAAGATAACTGGACATAGTAACCAAGTAATATTAAACATTTATTTTCTTAACTCTTGGTGTTTATGTTAAATGAATTAAGTAAGATATAGGACTGCACCATACAATAGAGCAGCTGTATTTAAGACAAGATGAAAGCGAGACGTGCTATCTTAGGTGAGGCCTGCTGGTGTGTGTGCTGCTTCACATCTCCAGACAGCTTCACAAGAAGCTCAACCCCAGAGTGGGCACTGCACTGACTCCAAATTAGAACCACAAACTGCAGTGGTTTCAGTGGAAGCTGAGGACCCACAACAGGAACGAGGTTTTACTCTGGGGAGTTTCACAACATTCAGAGAAAGCAGGATGCCCGCACTCACATAGGACAATACCTGACCCCCAGAGGGAGCCTGTCCCTACGCACTAGTCCCATAGAGGAAAATAGCACTGCAACCCTACAATTTAGTCCTCTCCTGAACACTGCAAACACCACCACTGAGAGAAAATAAAAGGTGATTTGAATTTAAAACATAAAAAATAGAAAAGAAAGAAAAACTCAACCAGTAAACTAACTCCAGATGTGCAAGTTCCAGGGCAGAAACAAAAACAAAATCCAGATAACAAGTCTCCTTCAAAGATTACTAATACCAATGCTATGACTTCTACTGAAAACGACTTAGAAGAATTTACAGCCAAAGAATTTAAAAGATTAATTATATCCAAACAACTTAATGACATAAATATATTTTGAGAGAAAACAAAAAGAGCTGAAGTCAAGGAAGTCAATCCAAGACATGAAAATTGAACTGGGAGAGGGTAAGAAGGAAACAGGGGAGACAGGAGGGAGAAAAGGAAAGAAATGCTGAAGAAGAACCAAACTGAAATGATGCTGGAAATGAAAAATTCGGTTAGCCAAATTAAAAGCTCACAAATAGAATGGATCATGTGGAAAACAGAGTATCAGGGCCGAAAGACAAGGCAGGAATAAATCATGCAGTAAAGGTCAATGATAAATGGTTGGGGAAGGGAGAGGGTACAGTAAGAGAGATTTGGGACACCATGGAAAGACCAAAAGACAAAATCTTCTTTAATTATAGGCACAGAAGAAGCAGGATACCACACCAAAAGCACAGACAATATTTTTAATACAACCATAGAAGAAAATTACCCAAATCTAGAGAAAAGGATGCCCATCAAGGTACGAGAAGACTACAAAATTCCAAATTGGACAGGATCAGAAAAGAAACTCCCAACATATTATAGCTAAAATACTAAAAACACAAAATAAACTCAAAGCTTCAAGAGAGAAAGGTCACATCATCTATAAAGACAGAACCATCAGAATAGGACCTGGTCATGCAACAGAAACACTTAACGCCAAAAGAAAAGATGTAGCCCAAGGTCTAAAAGAACACAACTGCCAACAAAGACTACTATACCCAGCAAAACTATCTACTAAAATTGAAGGACAGTGGGATAGAGAGAGAGAGCTTAGTGGTTAAGAGCACTGGATATTCATCTGCAGGACCCAGGTTTGAATCCTGACTCTCACATGGCAGCTCACAACTGTCTGTAACTCAGGTTCCAGTGGATTCTCTGAAGAACTAATACCAATACTATTCAAGTTGTTCCATAAAAAAGTCTTTTGAGCTCTTTATATGAAGCCAGTATTACCCTGACACCAAAACCAGATAAAGACAATACACAGCAATAACAACAACAACAAATTACAGGCCAATCTCCTTAGACATAGCTGTAAAATTCCATAATAAAATCTCCTTAAACATAGACACAAAAATCAGTAAGAAAATTCTTACAGAATTCAACATTACATTAAAAATATCATTCATTGTGACCAAGTTTGCTTTATTTCAGTGAATGAAGGAGTGGTTCAATACATGTAAATCAATAAATTTCATCACATTAATCAACTAGAGGACAAAAATCATGTTTCTCTCAATCATCACAGAAAAAGTCACTGATAAAAATCCAAGATCCTTTCATGATAAAAGTCAAGGAGAGTCTAGGGATGGTGGGCTCATATCTTAATATAATAAAAACTATATATAAAACCAACCTGAAGCCAATCTCATACTAAATGGAGAAAAACTCAAAGCATTCTCCCTAAGATCAGGAACAAGACAAGGAACGACTTCTACTTAATACAGTACTTGAAGTCTTAGCTTGAACAATTAATTTGATAAGAGAAGTAAATAAAAGAAATAGAAATAGAAAAAGTCACAGTATCCCATTTTGAAGATAGTATTTTAAAAATAACAGATGCTAAAGATTCCAAGAAAGTCTTAGAACTGATAAATACTTTCAGCAAAGTGGCAGAATACAAAATCAACATAAAAAAATCAGTAACCTTCCTATATTACAATAGCAGATGGAAAAAGAAACCAGGGAGATCACAGTTACAAGTGAACAAATATAGTAACAACAAAAACCATCTGGGAATAAACCTAACCAAGTAAGCAAGAGACCTTTACAATGAAAATGTATAGACAATAAAGAAAGAAACTGAGGAAGACAGAAAGCTACCTCATGCATATGGATTAGAGGAATTGTTATTGTGAAAATGACCATCTATTAAAAGGTAGTCAACACACTCAAGTGCAATTCCAATAAAAATCCCAAGTCCATTCATTCCTCATAGATTGAAAAAACATCCAAGATGATTTATACAGAGGCACAAAAGACCAAGGATAGCCAAAGCAATCCTACTCAAACACAGGAGCTATCACTATATCTGGTTTCAAATTATACTAGGAATAAAAACAGCAGGGACTGGCACAAAAGCAGACACACAGATTGATGGAGCAGATAAAAGTCCATACAACTTCTGATTTTTGAAAAAGTATAAAAAAATACACACTAGAGAAAAGACAACATCTTCAACAAATGGTATTGGGAAAACTGGAATTCAAAATGAAACTAGATGCTTATCTCTCTCTCTCTCTGCACAAACTAAACCCCAATTGGTCAATAACCTCAACATAAGACCTGATACTCTGAAGCTGCTAGACAAGAAAGTAGGGAGCACACTTCACCTTACAGGCGCAGGGCAGGGCTTTCTGAACAAGACTCCTTAGCACAGAAAATAAAGTACTCAATCAACAAATGGCTCTCAGAAATGAAAAGCTTGTGTACAAAAAAAGCAACTGTGAAGTGAGTGTAATGGGAGAAAACTTTTTGCCACTAGTGAAATAGAGGCACAACTGTTATAGGATAACTAGTGGCTTTCTGACTAGATTTGAGGCTTGCTCCACAAGAGGGAATTTCATACCTAGTATTGTAATCATGGCCAAAATTCAGAATTAGGGAAGCCATAGGCCCTAGAGCAGAACCTGCTATTGTTATTTTCAGGAATAGTGATGCTCTCAGGGTAACTTGTAAATATTCATGTTAAAACCCATAGTTAGTGCTGCAGCTGCCCTGTCAGAGAAGCTTCCTTGTGCAGTGTGCAGCAGAGAAATAAATAACTGGTCAATAACTGGTCAAAGTGATGAGAATAAGAGACTGATTGCTCAATGCTGAACAGAATACCTATATCATAAATAAATAAATAAATAAATAAATAAATAAATAAATAAAAGCCAGGCGGTGGTGGCACACGCCTTTAATCCCAGCACTCGGGAGGCAGAGGCAGGCAGATCTCTGTGAGTTTGAGACCAGCCTGGTCTACAAGAGCTAGTTCCAGGACAGCCTCCAAAGCCGCAGAGAAACCCTGCCTTGAAAAACAAAACAAAACAAACAAACAAAAAAGAATATCTATGTCAACTTCCCCATCTCTCAAGGCTTAGTGAGCACTGAGGACGATGAGAGACAAAGGACATAGAGACTGAGGATGGGGAATAGTGCTGTGAATGCTGTCTGTACCGGGCATGGTTATCATACTCATAAACTCATAGTAGCTGTGGCTACCTGCACAAGACCTAGACAAGATCAAGCCAGTCAAAATGCAGATGGATGGGGTAGATAATATGTAGGCTCTATCTCTTACTGAGGCATTACTGGCATTGAGTAGATGCTGAGAGGAGAGAATCATTCTTTTTTTAGGATATGGCTACTGGTAGGTTTCCCAAACTATACCCATGCACCTATGGGCTGCACTAACAGGACACAGTGAGTTATTTATGCAGGGTATATATGATCACATGACCACATTTTATTATATACATGCATGAAGGAAAAAAATTTAAAGGGAGATGAGCTGATGAAACTTAAATTTAAAAAGTGATAACATTTGGGTGATTTCTTTCATATTTCTGAAATACTAATGCAAAATAGACAGGTACATTTTCATATCTGAAAAACAGTATTTAAAAAGAAAAAGGAAACCTGACCTATTTAACATAGACCATCAATACCTGGTGTTCAGAGCTTACCTGATCAGCATCTACAAACAGGAACTTGTCAACCACCAGCGGGAAAAGCACGTCCAGGAAGAGGATTTTGTAGCCCCAGATGATCCGCTGCTTCTCTGTCTGCTGATGAAGCCACCGCGGCCATTTGTACTGAACAAGCTCATACTGGAAGTTGTATTTGCTGGCCATGTAAGGTATAAACTCCTATTTTTAGACACAGGAAACAATAATCATCCACTAGAGTTAAGAAAACTGATTCCTTAATGTAAGGTAACCACTATTATTACAGTACCACTAAAACATTTCCACTAATACAAGGTCTAGTAAGAACTTCGGTCTTAGTCCACTTGACTCACAGAAGAGCACATATAAACTCTCGGTCAATCCTCATTTCTTGATGTCTTCTAGTTTATAACTCTATGTGTGGGTGTTTAAGACACATAAGCTCTGCGTTCATTTATCTAAATTTGATTTCAGCAAAACACTTTTGAGCTTGACAGTAAGACCTCCAAGCTAAGTCTAACCCAGGGTATTACATGATAGAGCCACAACTCTTCAATTTCCTGACATTAACAAGCAAGTCTTCTGTACCTTCAGGAGGTCAGAAGTAACTACTCATCCAAGATGAATCACCACTAAATATAAAGCTGATTTTTGAATACCACAGGCAGGGGGAAGTAAGAGGCAAGAAAATCAGTCCAAGCCAATACAAGTTAAGCAGGAGACTGCTTGAGTGTGGTTTTCCTTTGGCGCAGAGGAACCATCCCCCTCTATACCTTACAAATGAGAAAATTAATCATTCTCAAAACACACCATCACTGTGCTTCTTAAACTAAGGCAAGACATGCATGCTTCCAAAGAAAGGGTTGTTATTTTGCTAAAACATTGTCTCTTAGAAAAGATAAAGACTCTTCTCCTATATTATCCAGCTTCAAACAGGACACAATTTTGGGTTTGGTCTTATAAAAACTATTACCCCAAATAGAGAAACTTGGAAGAAAAAATACCAATATAAAAACAGACAATGACATTAGGGTATCCTAATAAAAGGTACAGATAAAACAAAAGTAAAAAGAGCATGTTACTGTGTAAACATTCCTTTAACAAGGTTTTCCTTTTCCCCATGCACAAACCTTAAATGTGGGGGACAAATAATTCTTCAAGAACCAGAATTTCACAGGAGTTTTGGTATTCTTCAGCACTGAGAGCATCATTATGCTGCCAAACAAAACAGATAATGATTTTCCAATGTTTTTAACGAAAGAACTTTAAGCAAAAAAAAAAAAAAAAAAAAAATCACAAGACTGACAGCAGCGCTAACTCGTGGTTCAATTAGGCAAAGAGACCTTCACCAATGAGAAAGCAACACATTGTACAATAAAGATGTCACTAAATGAGAGAAACAAGGCTTTCCCTATGAGTATATTCCAAACAGATAGAGGCAAATGCTAATTATACTATGTGCATAATTGAGCCAGCTCATGAACTGGAGGTTGCAGTCATGACTATATCATTCTCCAGACCCCTGTGCTCAGGCACAGCAACATCTGGTACTGAGCAAACAGCGGGTAAATGCACCGTCTTTGTCAGCCTGGACACAGAGCCTTGAGAGAAAGGAGACAAGGAAGCGGGACGGGAAACCAGAGGGCACAGGCTCAGGATTCCCAGGCCAAGAAATGCAATTGAGTTATGACCACTGTTGTTATTTTATTTAGCTATCTACTGGAAAAAGAAGAACTAGAAATTACCCAGCTGATACTATTTTTATTTCCTATGCCAGCTTTATAATGAAAACTAAGTAAAAACAGCTCTGAAATTGGCCCAATGACCTTCAAGTAATGTGTCTTCAACACTGAGCTCCAAGACACAGTGACAAACTGATCCTGAGACCCTTCCCCTCTGATAACCATATCAACAATTTCAAGCAATGCCTGTTCTGCTTTCAGCTGCATGACCTAGGCAAACCCCTTCCATTTCTAGTCTCAGTTTTTCAAGCAAGGGTGTTCTCACATAGAACTAAGATCTAGTTCTAAAGCCGCGTGGGTCTGTAGAAGATGACCAAGTGTTACACAGTTATGGTCTAGTCTATGTCAATTCCCTAGTTTCTGGTTTAAGCAATATTTATGGTCAAGGGACCAACTGTCTATAAGGTGTGCATAGGATACTGAAGGTCTACAGCCTTGTAATATCCACACAGATGCTAACTTCATGGAGTGAACCAGATCAAAACAAATAGAACTGTATGTGGCAAGCTATCCATAGTCCTACGTGTACTTCATATAGATTCACACAGTACAGGGAGCAAAACCTTTCTCACAAAATAAGAATACTATATCAAATTCATTTACATACAAATGATAAAGACTAACCGAAGAAATCTTTCATAGAGATGACCAGATGCAACAGAGAAAATATTGATTATGTCATCTTTTTCTTGCTTCACTTCCTCAGTCTTCTGTCCTGAAAAGCCCCTGTAACAACAGAATTAAAAACAGAACCACTTACAATGCTGGGCAGGCACACCCTTTCAGGATAGGAAAGAGACAGCATCTTTATCTTCCTGCTCTACGGGTAAGACGTGGTGGAAACAACATGCAAAGACGCTGGGAGGGAACACAGGAACAAGGCCGTCTTACAAGGTAATAAGGATGCGCATCACAAGGCACCATATCATTTCACAATAAATGGAACACAAGCTGCTCCAAAGAATGCAATCTGTCCCATGGGAGAACAATGACTGTCACCTCTCCCAGGATTGGGTCCCACCCATCAAGAGTGAAAAGTGTGCAGCAGAAGTAAGCTATGTGGAAGAATACTTCCCCTCTCTGAATCAAATGGCAAACATTCCTCTTCTCTAATCAAAGGGGGACAATCTAGTTGCATGAAGCAGAAGGTCAGAAGCCCCCCAAAATTGCCATACTCAGAAGGATGCATGGCATACATCTGCCAGTTTTTCCTTTAAAATATTAACCCTTTTCATTATACCAATTTACCATTTGAATGAATCCCAAAATCCGGATTCGTTCTCATTTGTTCCATCACTCAACAAGTCTTCATTAACCATGTCTGCTTTCTTCTGAACCTGCAATTGTATATGACAGATCTTATTTCTCCTAGTAGGTCTGATAGGCACAAACCTGCCTTGCACTGGATGCACATGGAGTATTGTCAACAGGAAACAACTAACCAATTCTCCTATTCTAAAACCCCATGCAGACTCTCAATATCCAATGGAAGTAAGTGTATCAGAATGCCCATGTTAAAGCCTTCAGGGAGGAGCTAGCAATCTCTTTGAATTGAATGGTAATCAAGCTCAGTTCATACAATGAGTCAAAGACCAAATTCAGCTGCATAGAAACGCAGAGTAAGTAAACCCAGAAGAATATTTCTTCTAGCTAACAACTACTAGGGAAGAATTCGGCCTTCAGGAGCTGTTGAGAGAGGCATGTTGTACCAGAGCCCATTTTCAGGACTCATTCCACAAAGGATTCTCTACAGCAGCCTTCTCTCTGTTCAGCCATGGAATGGCTAACTTTAGGTTTTACCATGTACAATAGTTTTACTTCAAGACAAAGAACTTCAAAATGTTGAGGAAAGATAGCAACAAAAGACAGTAAATAAAATTACCAGTTGTTTGTATTTTGTTTGTTTTAGGAGACAGGGTCTCATATCACCCACAGTGGCCTCAAATTCTCTATGCAGTACAGGCTGACAGTGAATTCCTGATCATCCTGCCTCCAACTCCCTAAGAACTGGGATTACAGATGTGTACCACCATGCCTATAATAACTATAATCTTACAGTTGAGTTGCCACTGGAATTTCCCAGTCCTGTGAGAATAAAACAATCAATAACTGATGGGGGCTGTCCTTCTGTATATACGTTTCTCTTATTGGTTGATGAATAAAACACTGATTGGCCAGTAGCCAGGCAGGAAGTATAGGCAGAGCTACCAGACAAGGAGAATTCTGGGGAGATGACAGGGAGAGAAGCCGCCAGGGAGAGACACCATGTTGCTACTGGCAATGTAGGATGCCTGGGCATTCTCCAGTAAGATAAAGCCATGTAGAAATACATAGATTAATAGTAATGGGTTAATAATTAAGAGAGAGCTAGCCAGTAAGAAGCCTAAGTCATCAGCCAAACAGTTTATAATTAATATAAGCCTCTGTGTGTTTACTTAGGACTAAACAGCTGCAAGACCAGGTGGGACAGAAACTCATCTTCAAATAACATTATGAATTGTGGGTATAAAAATGTCAAAGCCAGGGCTGGAGAGATGGCTCAGTGGCTCAGAGTACATACTCCTCTTCCAGAGGACCTGAGTTCAGTTCTCAGCACCCACACTGGGTAGCTCACAACTATCTGTAACTCCAGCTCCAAAGGATATCAATGCTCTCTTGATATCCTTTACATGTGCCTATACATGTGCAGCACACAGTCATACAAACACATTTACATACATAAAAACAAATAAAAATTTTAAAAACTAGCAAAGCTGGCCCAGGCAAGATGGTAGATGCCTTTAACCCTAGCACTTGGGAGGCAGTCAGATATATTAGTGAGTTCAAGGCCAGTCTGGTATATACACACTAAGTCCTAGGCCAATCAGGGCTACACAGTGGGACCCTGTCTGAAAAAGAATAGGGGGCAGGGACAAAAATCTCTGAGGACATTTTGTGTGAAATGGGACTAGCAGTGCTCTATGAAATCACAATCTCTTGGCTGAAGAAAACTAGAAGCTTGTCTTCACAAAGACATTTTCCTTAAGCAGCATCCCTAAAACAACAACAAAAAACCCTCCAAATGGAATACCAGACTGACTTCAAAATGTAGTTTGTCCACCTCTATTTGTTGGGAAACATCCCAAGCCCCTAGTGGATGCATAAAATCACAGACAATAGAGAACCCTGAATATATACTATAGCTTTGCTCATACTATTTATGATAAAGCTTAATCACAACAAGAGCTAAGAGTAAAATGGAACATTAAAACAATATTTTAATACACTAATGTGAATTTTAATAGCCCTCCTGGAAACAGTCACACAGGTGTCAGTATCTTCAGACAGTGCCTGACTGTGATCACTGAACCTTGCCACAGGAGGGACGGCTGTCTATATTTTTCTGGCAGTGACTTAATGAGGGCTATTTACCAACTATAAACAGTGGCTCCCAAGGCAGAGCAAACTTACCTTCACTTTGATGATCTTGCTTTTGAAGTTATTGAGGATGACAACAACTTCATTTGCATCAGGAGGAGAATCTGTGCCATCATGGCTTAGAGAAAAAAGCAAGACAGAATACAAATCACAATCCCCAAATGCAGTAAATACCCAGACAACTGCTGTGTTTGTCCGACAGTTCCTAAAAGAAGCACCTCTATGGGACAAAGAAGTGTTCATGGAAATCTCCATCTCTAGGCTAAGTGGGTTGACTTCCTTCCTGAATCCTCCTTCAGGCAAACAGTGACAGGTACAGGGTACACACATGACGGATTGTCAACAATTGTGTATGTTCATAGGTCTGAGCACTCAGGCTCATTGCTGGAGCCACTTCTACCTTTTAATTGGAACAGCTATGTAAAGAAATCTACTCTTGGCTGAATGCTGTGACTCACACCTCTAACTCCACTAGGAAGTAGCATGGAGATCAATTTGAGATCAAAGCCAGCCTGGGCTATAGTGTAAGAAAAAACAAGAACAGCAATCCATTCTTGCCTTCTGCCGGGAGACAACACAATCAGGCAAGAGTAGAGCACAGACTCAACTCTGTGTCTCTGGTAGAAAGTCCACAGCACAACCAGCTCTGTTTGTAGGCACAGGAGCAGAGGAAGAAAATTTTAAGCACTCTTTTCCTACTAATATTTTCCAGTCACCAAATATCAGGAAGTCACTGTGTTTGCTGTCATTCTGCAGACAGCAAGGTTCTCAGGCAAAAGGAGGGGAGAAAGCCGAAGTACAGAAGACTCCAGAGACAGGGACTATCCTCTTGGGAGGCACAGGAACCCAAGGTAGCAGGAAGAGGATGGCAATATAACCCTGGGCAAAGAGGAAGATGGACAAGGGCATATAGAAGAAAGAGAATTCAGAAACATAACTTTGTGAAACCTTACCTAGAAAATCACTTCATCCGAGAAAAGCCTACTATTTATAATAGGGACATTTTACAGTACAAAACTCTCATAGGTACTGAAGAAGAGAACTGCACCAAGCTGGTATGGTAGCACATGCCTATAGTCTCGGCTACTCAGGAGACTAAGGCAGAAGAAGGTTCACTTGAGCCCAGATCAAGCCTGGGCAAGAGAGCAAAACTTCTGCATCAAAACCAAGAACACTAATCCCATACTGCTTTTCCATGTTCAGATAAACTCTGATGAAAACCATTCCCTAAATAAACTGACACAGAACTTAGGACTGATTTAAACTGTGTTAAACAGAATAAGAGACCACAACTTTTAAAATGGTGTTTGTGTGTTTGTTCTGTAACTAGTGGGTGCAGTGAATTTTAAGCTAATTTCCACCACTGACAGTTATGTTCTAGGAGTATATCTATAAAACCCCAGCCCAAGGACCAAGACTGACAGTCAGATTTCATGGTCCAAATTTGCATGTTCTGTGTTCAAGGTTCCATCAATGTACTGAACATGGCCAACCCCACTTAAATTTCCAAAAGTCAAATACACCAAGTACACAAAGATGCTGCCTGCTGTCCGAATCACAGGGAAAGACTTAACTTCATTCTGATACAGTTTTGACAAAGGGGAACCAGTGGAGAACAAACTTCACCATAACCCGCATTTATACCTCTTATTATCCAATTCACCTCTAAAAATTCACTTCTGTACTGGAAGCTTGGTTTTGTTCCATATGACTATATATTAAATTCATGATGCCTGAGGGAAGGCCAGATAACACCCAATTAAAGTGGAATCTCTTTTAAAATGCAAATGGTCCACTTAATCCTACCTGTAGATTCTATAAATATCATCAGAGCGCCCCTTCCTCAGTCTGAGAATCCAGGCTCCCGGGTTGGCTTTAAGCTGAAAATATCCCTAGGACACAAACAAAGTAAAATTTCAGTTCTCTTTAAAACTTCAAAATGTTGTTTCTGATGGATATTTACTTTTTCTTTTGAAGTGTCAGGTGTGTGTGTCTGTGTCTGTGTGTGTCTGTGTGTCTGTGTGTCAGTGTCTGTGTGTGTATATCTACCTATCTACCTACATAACTTTCTTTCTATTGGGGGCTGGGGGGCTGGGCGGGTTATACTGGGTATTGTACCCAGGGTCTTGCTGTCATGATAATTTAAAAAAATTAAAAGATAGTTAACAAATCAGGGAAAAGTAAAGCAAAACAAAATAAAAACAAATAAGCAAGCTAAAAACCAAATAGTTGTAGGAGAACAGAGACAGTGAAGGCAAGCAGTCTGCTTCTGTGCTCCCTGAGGGAAAGTATGACAGGGGAGTGTGCTGGGAGCTTACAGTGAAAAGAGGGTTAGCAGAGCTCTACAGTGCATTTGGTTGTTTGGCTGGCATATAAATGGACTCCCCAAGCTTAACTGAACCACTGACTTTTCAATGACTACATTTAGTCCATAGATAATTCTTATTTCACTCCATAGTTCAGAATGTTAACTGTTCTGTCATAAATTCTAGTGTCTAAATTATCATGACTGAAGCATATGATAAACTGGTTATTTACCAGATTGGCCATCACAATCGTGTCCACAATTGTTGGGTTGGCTGAAGTTCCTAAAGTGAACTGTAGTCCTCGAGGGGGCTGGCCTGTGGTGATGTCATAGCAATGACCTTCTAATAACAGGTATTCCAGTTCATACTCAGCAGTCACTACATTGTCCACCTGAAAAGTCAAAATTAAACCACCTGAATATTACACATGCGTACTCAAAATGCAATCTGCAGGGGTCAAGGGGATAGTTGAGTGGATAAAAGCAGTTGCTATCGAAGCTGATGACTTAAGCTTGATCCCTGGATTTTACATGGTAGAAGGTGATCTGATGTCCACAGTTGTTCCTTGACATCTATGGGCACAGCATGGCACAAATCCCATAAAAAAAAAAAAAAGCTCAAACAAAAAAAAATTAAATAATACACCTTTTGTGACTTTAAGAAAAGGCAAAAACATGGTTTTGGAAAGTAGATCATTCACTGATTGTGGTGGGGGTAGGAGGTAATCTACAAAGGGAGAGCAAAGGGAGTCTTGGAATAAAATGTTCTGCATCTTGATTGAAATAGTGGCTAATAACTATAATTATAAAAACTTGATTGAAGAAAGAAGAAAAGATAATAAAGTCATTCCAAAAATATAGATGAGAGGATAAGATCCTCCACATTGTTGTGAAAAGCCCTAAATAAAGAAAAAGAATTTACATATTATGGTATGGACGGGGATAGCTCATACACAATAACCACAGCAACATCCTCCTAAGAGCCAACAATAGAAACAATCCAGTGTTCATATGCTATTTCCAAATAATGCAATACTATCTGGCAATCAAAATAAAGTACTGATAGTTATCATCACATGCATGAACCTTGGAATACAATTGTCAAATGAAAAAAGTCAGTTACTAAAGACCTCTTGTTGACTAACTACTCAGCCCCAATGTCAGATTAGGAAGGCTCAGAGAAACGGAAGTCAGTGACTGCCAGCAGGAAGAATGGGTAGCAGGAAGAATGGGTAAGTGTTAATGAGTTCTGTGGCGATTACTCTTCACTGACAATTTGACTAGACTTGGAAGCATATTTCTGGGCATGTGCAAGGACCTTTCCAGAAGGCTCAATTTAGGAGGAAGACCCACACTAAATGGGCTGGGATCCTGAAATGAGTAAGGGGCTTGAGAAATGGCTCAGTGCTGCTCTCCCAGAGATCCTGAGTTCAATTCCCAGAAACCACATGGTGGCTTACAAACATCTGTAATGAGATCTAGTGCCCTCTTCTGGCCTGCATGGGTACTTGCAGACAGAACACTATAATCGAAGGCAGGCAGGCAGGCAGGCAGGCAGGCAGGCAGGCAGGCAGGCAGGCAGGCAGGCAGAACTGAATTCTCTGTTCTCTGGTTGGTGCCACAGACCACACCACTTCCACTGTACATCTTCCCCTCGGGCCTTTCATCTATCTACCATGGTGGATGGTTGGGAAAAGACTCCGAGAAACCACGGGACAGAGATCTTATAGGGCAGCTTAAGGGGAGTGTCTATGTGTATGCACAGGCTCAGGATTGGTGTGCCTCCAGACTTGGAGGACTTGCCCTGTGTTGATTGGTCAACTGGTTGTTATGGCCCATAGGCCCTCCCAGGGCGGTTACTATGCTCTGCACGTCATTGCTGTGCACCTGATGGACTCCATTCTTATGAGCCAAAATAAATCGCCCCTCTCTTACCTGGCTCCCCGTCGTGTGTTTGGATGCAACAACAAGAAAAGTAACTAATACAGACATGGAGCTGATTATGAGGGCAACAAACGCCAACTAAACAGAGATAGCAAGGACAGCAGCACCAGTCTATGCACAAGCCCAAACTTACGATGTGACACTGAATTATAAACGGGCTTTATATGTGACTCAGTATTCTGAAACAATGGCAGTCTTACCTCTTCTAGATAAATATTATCAAGATCATACGGTGTTCTGACAGATTCTACCATCCAACTCTCAGGTGTGTTCAAATTCAAAGTGAACAGGGGAGACTGTGGCATATCCAGAAACTTTGCTATTGGTCCCTTCGCAAAGCTGTTGTCTGCGGTAAAAGAAATCTCTGGTTCTAAGACATAACGATAAAAGCTGAAATGAAAATAGGAGTGTTAGGCTTTCTTGATGCAATCACAAAGGTCCACACAGTTTAACAAAAAACTAGATTTGGACAGTATCCTTCCAGATCAGGACATGAATAGGCAAAACCATCCTTTGGTCTAGTGATGCTTCTCAAGGTTGTTATAGAGTCAAGAGAAGAGAGAGAGGGAAGAATGCAGAAGACCACCCCTTCAGACGTGTGGTTCTCCTCTTCAAGGAGAACATATTTTTTCTTAAAATCTGAGCCCATGGTGCTTGTGCTCTCATGCCAGCACTGAAAACATTACATGTAATAACTTAATATAAAGTTAATAGTGAAGCTGGGGCTCTTCATTCTTTGCAAAATTGTTGGGATCCATTTAGAAACTAACTAGAACTCTGTCCCTCATCGAGGAAGACATTTCCCATAGCCAGAGCATGCACTAAGTACCACTATCACTGGACACTCCTAACACAAATAGCCATCCCACAAACAAGCCTATCCACTTCCCCAGGATGGATGAGAATGAGTACAGTAAGCTTCCCACATGTGGCTATGAATGGCTACAGTTCTTTTAAAGTGAGATGCCACTGTGCAAGTATCTTGGATTAGTGCCATCTAAATGCATCCAAGCCCACACTATGTTCTCAGAATGTCTAACTAGAGCAAATATGTGACATAATTCAACAATCAGTAGACGTCCATCAAATAACATCCGCCTACCAGCCCACCTGATTTGTCAGCATTTAGTACTAACTTTTAGATTTGGTACCACACAAAAAAGGTTCCTTAAATGGCATTTTACCTTTTTAAAGGCATGTCAGAAAGCTTAGATTGGCAATTCATAAATACTCTTAGATTCATGTTTATCAGCTGAGTCAAGACCTAAAAAGGCAAATCAGATGACAAAATATTTAAGTTTTCTCCTCACAAACATTTCACAATTAGTTAGGAAACAAAACATTTTTAACATCTCAAGAAGATAGAGATAACACCTGTCATTACACCTGCACTGGAGAAGTTGTGAAAATCAGAGCTCCAAAGCAGAGTCTACCATACATACTTCAGGCACAGTCCCAAAAAGGGGCGGGGGAGTGATGCAATGGCTCAGTAAGTAAAGGCGCTTGCTGCCAAGCCTTACAACCCAAGTTTGATCCCTGAGACCCAAATGACAGAAGGTAAGAATTGACGTTTTGTCTGTCTGTCTGTTGTAACAGTCTTGGATGTTCTGAAACTCTCTGTAGACCAAGCTGGCCTCAAACTCTCAGAGATGCATCTGGCCCTGCCTCCCAAGTGTTGGGATTAAAGGCATGCGCTACCATACCCAGCAAGAACTGACTTTTTCATAATGCCCTCTGATGTCTACCTATGTACCATGACATGTGCAAACAGACAGACACACGGACTGACTGAATCAACGAACATTTTTGTTTTGTTTTGTTTTTTCATAAAGGCTATTGCAGATCACTTTTCCTCACACAAAGTATAGCACTCAGTTGTGAGAAAACACCAGATAAATGAATATTTAGCTACAAAGGAAAACATAACAGCTCATTGCTTCAGTTCACATTAAAAAGCATGAAAAGACATATGTATTAACACCTACAGAAGAGTAGGTGATCACACTATCCTAAAAAATCCCAGCTAGGGCTAGAGATATACCTCATTTGGCAGAGTGCCCACATAGCACATATAAGGCTCCATGTTCAGGCCCTAGAATGCACACATGCACACACACACACTTAAATGAAATGTTAGGGTGTTGTATTAGCTAGCATTTTAAACATACATCAAAGTATAGCATCTTATACATATCTAAAAGATATGATACAATTAACAAGGAAAATGAGCATCTATTAAACTTATGAAACTATATTGTCCAACTCCTCTAAAAGATGTCTCAGGGACAAAGGAAGTACCCAGAAAATCATAGGGCCTATGACTACTTCATTAAAGATAAGAACCACCTCCACAGCAGCCCTACCAAGAGCAAGGGGGCGAGTCTCTGTGCTTCTCTTGTGACAGGATCAACAACAGCCACCACATCATAGTATGTGTCCCCTTCATTGGGCTTCAGTTTAATTGCACTGAAAAAAAAAAAAAAATCAAAAGAACAAAACATTAGCACAGAGAAAACAGGAAACCAAGTTGGGGGGGGGGGGTGATGGGGATACCAGTATGATGTATCAACATTTCAAAAACATGCAGATCAGAACCAACAGGCTAGAATGGCGATCAACTATGAGACTAAAGCTATAGAAGGAGCTATACCTAAGTGAAGCTTGTGATTGGTCCTTGTATGAGGCCTGTGATTGGTGGGACTAAGAGCTAAGGAGCACAAACATGCCAAATCCTGGTTCTGGAGATATAAGCATAGTCTAAAGAGATCTCTCCTCTCCCCACCACTAGCATTGCAGCAGCATGCCCCAGGAAAAGCTCTTACAAATGAAAACGCAAAGAGAAGAAAAGCAGTGGCTCTCAAAGGGTTAAGACTTACTTCACCCAGTTGTCTAAAATCATTTATTGCTTTGTTCGATCTGATCAAAGTTTTAGTCAAGAACATTTTTGCAACCTATGCTAAGAGTACAACACAAAGCAGAATACAACCAGCAAACCACATAGCAATGGTTTAGTTGCTGCTGGTGGTTATTTCAAATGTTATATGCTTTGGAAATAACTATTACTTCAATATATAAGACAGCTATTTTTCTGTAGCTATTCTCTAAAAACCACCCCCATGAGTGCTCACAACCATCCCTAACTCCAGTTCTAGGGGATCCAATGTCTTTTTCTGCTCTCCGTGGATACTGTATGCACATGGGCATACAGGTTTACACATGGACAAATCACCCATATACAAAAAATTAAATTAATTTTAAAAAATCACTCCTGTGTTCTATAACAAGAAAAGGAGGCAAGAAATAATAGTCACAGGAGAATGGCACAATACAAATCAATAACACCATGTACTTGATGTACTGGTAAGAGAAAACTCTAGAATGAAGCCAAATATGACAGAAGATCACACATTCCCATTGGGTGAATAGAGCAAATACCAAGAAAACTGTGCCCTCCCAAATTATGTTCACTGGAATCACTAGGGAATCTTGCTAAGAGGCAGTACTGATACAATAGGTCTACGCTAGGGCCAAAATCATTCAGCAGGATCCCAGACAATACCCTGTTGCCGATGGTCTGAGACCCACACTAAGGGCACACAGAATTGATAGCATAGTCATTTTTGTTTGTTTGTTTTTCAAGACAGGGTTTCACTGTGTAAGCCCTGTCTGTTCTGGAACTTACTCTGTAGAGCAGGCTGGCTTGAACTGGGAGAGCTATCTGCCTCTGCCTCCTGAGTGCTGGGATTAAAGGCATGCACCACCACCTCGCAGCTGCACAGTCATTTTTATTTGCAGCAGAAATGATAACTAGGGCTGGAGAGATAGATGGCTCAGAAGTTAAGAGCACTGGCTGCTCTTCCAAAAGTCCTGAGTTCAATTCCCAGCAACCACATGGTGGCTCACAACCATACATAATGAGATTTAGTGCCCTCTTCTGTAGCGCAGGCAGACATGCAGGCAGAACACTGTATACACAATAAAGGAATAAATCTTTAAAAAGAAATGATAACTATTTTTATGTAATAATTAAATGGAATTTGAGTAAAGCAAGTTTCAGCATATTGAAAAATTAGAAACAAAGAATCCACATGATGACCTGAATGGATAAAATCTTAATAAAATAGGAATGAGAAATTTTGATTTACATGTATCAAATACTTGGCTCACACAACAACAGTGAAAATTTATATTGTATCATAACAGAATTTGTATCTAGGGCAATTTCATAGAGAAAAAGATGTTCTAGAGAGGGCTCAGGCTTCACTGAGGACCTGCTATCTTGGCTACAAAAGGCAGATGGGACAGCAGATCAGTCACTGTTTCCCATGCTAGTAACTAGTTCTTTCTTACAGAGCGCAGTGCTGAGAAGAGAAGAGCAGCATGTGCACAGCTGCCAGCGGCAAAATACCAGAAGGGTTATCCTGGGCCACAGAGGCCTCTGCCTACAAGTGACGTGAGAAATTAGAAGGCAGCTGACGATGTAGCTTAGCAGCAGATGACTGCTTAGCATGCACAGGCCCTAGATAAGAGAGCAGGGTAGGGGAAGGAGAGGGAAAGACGAAGAAAGAAAGCAATCATAAATGAGGAGACATGGACTTGGAGAGATAGCTCAGCAGTTAAGAATGCACACTGCTTTTGAAGAGGACCTCAGTTTGGTTCCCAGACTCTATATCAGGTATCTCACAACCACCTACAACTCGAGCTCCAGGAGGAATCCAACAGCCTGAGGTCTCCACAGGCACCTGCACACATGTGGACACAGTCACACAGACACATAATCAAACATAATAAAAGTAAAACTTTTAAATGAGGAGACTGACAGCTGATGTTTTGAGTTCTCTGGTCTTAAAGGAGTAACCTACACTGCGGGGTTGCAAAGACAATCTGCCTGGGCTCTTTAAAAAAGTCAATGCCACAAAAGAAAAGGGGGGAGGGGTGGGCAGAGAACTCTTTTAGATTAAAGGAGATTCCAGAGCTATGAATAACTTTAATGTGTGGTCTGGAACATGAGAGAAATCTGAACAGAGATTAAGTATTAGCATTACTGGATGAAGGTCACATTTCTCAGTACTGTGGATCAAGTCTCCACATACTGAACACTTTAGACATATCATGTCAGCAATACACTTTCAAATGCACATATGCACACTGCACACACAGATGGGAAATACCAAATAAGGCACAGCAATAACTGTGAATATAGTTACAAACACATAGTTATTCTGTGCAAGTCTTGCACCTTCATCCATGTTTAAAACTTCAAAACAATAAACTGAAGAATAAAAAGGCAGAGACATCTTCATATCCTAAATACATTTTTATTTATTGGAAACATTGGGGTTTTTATAATAATAATAATAACAAGAGACAAGTATTTAATTAATATTTAAGCAATCAAGTTACTCCTGAATAACAGGAAATTATAGTTGTTCTATTTCATTAATTGCTATTTTCATTAAAAGGATATATTCAGAATTACTTCAAGTTTATTTAGAAATACCAACTTCCACGAAATTGAATTTTATATATGAAACTTCATTTTATATGTGGACACTAGCAAGCAAAGAAAACCACACACTAAACTTCTCATTTCTCTAATAACATTTAAGGTTTCTAAAACCTTATATGGAAAAACAAAGAATGTGAGACAAAAAAAAAAAAAAAAAAAAATTGGAAAAAAAAAAAATGGGAGAAAAAAAAAAAAAAAAAAAAGCCTATGAGTTTAATATTCAGGAATGTGCATAAATTCAACATTAATTCCATACCTGTGTTTGTCTTCAAAGAACTGGTAGTCAATTCTTGCCTCTCCTTTGGGTTGTGCTGACAGGAGAGAATCCACCTTCATTACCAAGTCACTTGCCCTAAAAGATGGAGTTATAGCATCACTATATCTGCAGATTTTCTAATTATTGCTGAACACCATCAGCCCAAACACAGACTTAATGCCAACAAGGTGGTTTAAAAGAGGGGGTAGGTAAAATGGAGGTTTTGTTTGTTTGTTTGTTTGTTTGTTTGTTTCACTTTATTTTATGTCTGTTAACACAGTAAAGAACCTCAGAGGCACCAAAATGGATCAATGTTGCACTAAGGGATGAAAACATAGAGTCATGCCTTTGGTACTGAGTTCACGCCCCTATTAAAAAGGAATTTTTAATTAGATTTATTTATTTGTGTGCATGTGTGTGTTCTCACATGTTATGGTGTCAGACAACAACTCAAGGAGTTGGTTATCTCTTTCCACCATATGGATCCCCGGAATCAAACTGAGGTTGTCTTATTCACTGAATCATCTTACTGGCCTGCTAAACCCTTCTAAGCTGATTTATAACCAAAGGAGATCTTGAACTATATATGTCATGAGCCTAAAGAAGCCAAACTTGAATACAACACCCCAAGAAAGCCATTCAAAAGAACAGCTGTGATAGACTTCAACTATAACCAAGTTTCTGAAAGCAATGATTGTAACAGGGGACCACCCCAAAACACAGTGACCCTGGAGATACTCAAAGTGTGCTGCATCAGGGAAGTGCTTCACAAGCCACACAGGGAACCACTCAAAACCACTGAGGCAGGAAGAAACCACTTTACCTCAGTCTCAGCACTGAGCCAGACAAAAAGGAATTTTTCTCGGTTTGGGGAAGTAGCTCATTGGCAGAAAACTTTCCTAGCGTATATGAGGGTCTAGGTTCCAACATCCACAGCAACACACACACACACACACACACACACACACACACACACACACACACACACACCCCTGTATCACATGACAAAGGGGCTACTTTGGCAGCTATCAAAGACAACACATCACTAAAAGATGTGGTGTGACAGTAATGAAAAAGATGAAGGAAAAAAGAGAGACCTTTAATGTCTTTATATCCTCCAACTATGAATCAACTGGCATTATTCAAAGGGTAAAAGGTCAACCAAGGGAATGGGGAAAATATTTTCAAATCACAGATCTGATAGGGAACTGACATCTAGAATAAAAGGAATGCCCACAATTAACAAAACCAAAAACCCAGATTTAAAATGATGAAAAGACTAGAATTCGGCATGCATTTTCTCCCCAACAAAATGAAACTGAAGGAGACAAAAGAGCCGGTGACAGTCTCTACATGTGCATCCGATAAAAAGCAGACTTGGCTCTCTGCTTCCACATGTGTTTGAACTTTTCCAGATTCAGAATGGAGAGAAATCATTCAGAAACTTAGCTGATAACCTGAGCATTAGTACAGTAAAACTGGAAATAAACCCACTGACTCAGTTATATATTTGACAATATATAGTCCTCACTTTGACCAACGAGGCAAAATTAATAAAAATTCTGTGACATGATCTAGCATCTAATTAGAAAACCATTTTTGTTTATTATCTAACTAGTTACTAATTGTAAAAACTTACACGTCTTCTTCTACTTGAAGCTGTTGGATATGAGATTTTATTTTCTGTCCAGATGTTTTCAAGATGATATTTTCTAGGAGGTGGAAATCGTCTTGGTTAAAGAGCTCACTCTCCTCCAGCGGCCCAATGATCTGTGAGGTAAAGAGCAGAGCCAAGCTGTTGGTCATCAGTGGCTGTGACACCTCTGCTAGCCTTGGGATATCTGACATCCCAAAGTATCTTACAACCCCAACCCCAGAGCACATCTTAAAATGGATGAAAAATAAAAAATAGAGCCTGAAAAAACTACTTTACTGCTTACCTATTCATCCCACAAATAGTAGAGACATGTGTCTCACACTAACTTCCGAAGCAAACTGACATGAACTAGCAGTGTCACTTGCAATGGCTGTTAGCAAACAGCAGTAAGGCCTACTTTATAGGCAGGTATTTGATAGGCAGCTGTACTAACTTCTGTTCTGACGGCTCCCACACTCACTACCTCCCTCATTGTCAAGACACAAATAAACAAAAGGGGCCCACAGGGGCTGCATCAGAAGTATGCCATCTTGGAAAGACAGGACAGAGCTCTCTGCACTGGCATGCAGAAGCCTGCCAGCTAACAGGAGGGCGGCTCTAGTACAGACCATTGACATTTCAAAGGAGCGAGGAAGCTAAAGCCCTATCGAAGGCAAGCTTCCCATCCCAGAAAGTCCTCACCCGTCCATTGCTGATCACCACTCTCTGTCCCTTCTTCAGCTTCAGGACATCCCTGCAGTACAGCGCATGAGACAAAATGGAATCCATTTTGGAAGACTCAAAGGCCTCTTTAAAAAGACTGACATCCATGCCCTAGGAAAGGAATCATTTTTAAGGAAAGTCACTGTTATTAAGCAAACCACATAACTGAATAACAACAATAAGTAAATTATAAAGTGCTTTTGTGAGGATAACTAAATTTCATAATTAATATTATAACATCTTAATTCTCCATTTTCTCTTCTTTATGCGCTCCTCATAAACTGTTCATTCCGTTTTCCTATTTTCTACTGATTTGTTTACCTGGCAGTTATTCTCAATAACTTTATTTTGCAATTTTAAATCTTGGTATAACTTCAAGTGACAGCCATTTCCTCTAACTGAAAATCAATATACTCATGACTTTATAAGAAATTTTAAAACTATAATCTGTTTTTCTACTTTATAAATAAATCAAATATTGTCTTTTAAAGATAGTACAAAGTGGCACAAACTTATATCCCGCACATCTTGAAAGTAAACAAGTTTGGAAGTAAAATGTAACATGATAGAATTATTTTTTGTTAAGATTCTAATTCAACAACAACAAAAAGTATCTTGAGACTCAGAAGCAATCACAAACCCTATTATGAATAGTATACATCAGCCCAGGAGAGAAACATGAATGACCAGGCTAGCCTCAGAGCCTTAAGCCTTACCCCAACAGAGAATTCCCCGATGTCCACTCCTGCGGCCAGGGCCTCTGCTGTCTCCTCTTTGGCCATTTTGGTGATGAAGTTCTTAGCTGAGTTGGAAGTCTGTGTTTGGAGAGCTGCCCAGATGGCTCTGAAGATTGGAGTGTTCGAGTAACTTATCTCTTGGCTGGGATTATTGATCATACTTATCCTAACATTGTTACTGGTTTTCTATTTACAAAAAGGGAGATAAGAATTATTCAGTACATGTTAAGAACTTTAAAAAGGCAACACTGACCAGGAATGGTGGGACATACATGTCTTTAATATTAGCACTCAAAAGGCAGAGACAGGCAGATGTCTGAAAGCCAGCCTGGGCTACACAGCCAGACCAGAATCACGTGGTGAGACCTTGCCTCCAAGGGGGAAAGGGTGCAGGGCAGACAATATTAACATTAGTCATGCTCCATAATAGCAATATCTCTTCTAAACATCTTCAGTAGTTGTCTGTAATCAAAATAAAATTCAGATGATGTGTACGATCAAGTCTGCCAAATCCTGTAAAGGACTGGCCCCAGACTTCCTTTCCAATTTCATTTCAATAAACACAGCAGACATCAAGAATGCTGTGTTTCCTCATACATTTTATACGCTAACTGCATTCCATCTTTCTAAATTCAAATCCTTCTTCATGTTTCTGCTCACCTGGCCTTTTCAGATGCCAGCAACAATGAAACTCCCCATGGGTAAAAGACAAACTATTTAACAAAACCAAAACATGAATCCACATGGAGGACCACATGGAGGACCATAAAAGCAAACAAGGCTTATATCAAGAATGTAAGCTGGCCAGTGAGATGGCTTAGTGGGTAAAGGTACTTGTCACTAGTAGAGACCTGAGTTCAATCCCTATGACTCTTAGTGTGGAAGGAAAATACTTTTCCATAAGTTGCCTTCTGACCTCCACATATGCACCATGCCATGTGAGTGTCTCTTCCCATACATTAAAATGTAGCCAAAAAACAAACAAACAAAAGGGATCAGGAGAGATGGCTCAGCTGTTAAGAGCACTTACTGCTCTTTTAGAGAACCCTCATTGGTTCACAGTACCCATGTGACAGCTCACAGCTATACATAACTCTAGTTCTAGGGGCTCTGATGCACTCTGGCCTTCTTGGGCATCAAGCATGCATGTAGGGTGTGCCTGTGCATGTGTGTGTGTGTGTGTGTGTGTGTGTGTGTGTGTGTATGCACATACACACATATAGGCAAAACATTCATACACATCAAAAGAGATAATTTTTTTAAAAGTCACTGAAATTTAAAAAGTCAGTTCACAAAATGTTGAGTAAAGGAACCAAATATAAGTATACATTATAAAATTTGATGATATAAGAAGAGGAAGGGGAGCAGTGGCTAGGGGGCCTTCAGTGACATCATTATTTCTTGATCTGGGGTTGGATACAGGGACATAACTTGCTTGTGACACTAAGTACATGAATGCAAACTTCACCTCAATGCAAATATATATTTAAGAGCTAGAACTCTCCTTCTTGGTGTTCCCACTCTGGGACCATGTGAAGAATTTCTCCATTCACATTAGAGAGCCCTGTGTATACATCTGTCACCCATCATTATGAACTGCCCTGACTCAACCTTCAACTGACCACAGTATCGCATGCAGTGTTTTAAACAGTGAAGGCCCTTGGCACCACAGTGAAATTTTAAAAATCCCTGGATATCTTTTTACTTCATACAGTCTTCCTAGGACACAGGTTAGAAAGACACACAAAGAGAACTGTGACTTCTAAATGAAGCTGCAAAGTGAAACATCCAAGGTTCTTGACATCTGCTCCTGACAATGATACTGTCCAGAAGAACCCATTTCTTCTCAACCACTCAGCACTGCAACCTCAACTTCTATTGTAACATACAAGTTGAGTTACAGCTGCTATGTGAACACCTGTCTGGGAGCCTGCATCTACTTATGTGGAACACACGCCAACCTGCTGGCTTGGGAAAGCCTCGTGTATGGACCTCTCTTGATGTGACAGTGCATGGCAAGATCACTGCAGAAGCACCTGCACAGTCATGCAAGGAAATCCTACACTGAGAATGCCATTAGGTTTTCTCTTAAAGAATCTATTCCCTCCCTCAAGGGAAGCTAGGCCCTGCAGTCTTTGACCTCTTTTCTTAGGAGCTGACAACCTGTGAAGACACTATGCTCATTTCCCTCAGCACGCTAAGAAAAATTAGAAACACTAGAGTAATCACACTAGCACAGAGCCAATTGGAGCCTCAGAAACAAACAAACACAAAACAAAACAAAACACTCTATAATCCCCCTCCCAGAATGAAATCTGAGAAACTTGCCTGATGTTTAATGGCATCATATAATAACTGCCGTCCAGATGGGCTATCAAAATCCCCAACAATCCAAAAAGTCACTGGCCTAATAAAGGAATCATCTGCAGAAAAATAAACACAACAAACTGACTAGAAGAAGAAAAAAAATAATCTTTGTTCCAACATTAAACAGGCCAAATAATTTCTCAAAAACATGCAAAACGAAAAATAAGAAAATGAGTGCTTTTGTAGATACAAAGCAAGAAGGTAGTGGATGGAAATTCTCTACTAACATGAAGCAGAGCAATCTTCCAAGCAACTCAATTGAAAACTAGGAACATGCATTGATTAACTGTCCTGTGGTCTGGGGGATCTGTTAGCATACAATGAAACATGTGGGCAACGCAATATAGTATTTAATCATATTAACTTACAACTTTCTGAAAGGTCTCCAAACATTTATACCTGTGTATAAATGTTTTATATAAACATTATATAATTTATCTACAATCTATGTTACCCACGGGTTTCAGAAACATCACAATGAAATGTCAATAAATTCTGAATATGGTCCTGAAACCACATAAATTAATTATGAAAATGAAGGGAACATTCTGAAGTTTTGAGTTACCATAGATTTCCTTGGAGGACATTCCTGGACAAAGGCAAAGAAAAAACAGTAAAAGAAAAGAGAATGTCATTTGTATAATCAAATGCCCATCAGAAGAGTCAACAGATCACACATAGCTAACAAGGCTGGGCTGTTTTCTGCTCTAGCTCCCACCATGTCCAAGCTCTATTCTAGCTCTATTCTATTTTATCCCTCAGAGATAAAAACCTTGGAGAAATCCAGTGGACTAACTGTGTGAACATACACAGCATGGGAATCCAGCGGGAAGATGGCCGCAGGGTAAACGGAGCCATCCTAATGACAACTGCTGCTTTCCAGGGTAACAATTATTACTGGAACTACTCTGGGAAAGGACCTGCCTGCCACTGAAAACAGTCACTTTAGACAAGTATAGATTAAGTAACTGCATAAAACCACTTTAAAGAATTATACGAGGCTTTCTAAAATCTAGTTTACCCTCTAAGTACGACAATAAAATCAGCTCTATGGTGTTATCAAAGAATCAGGCAAAATCATTTTCATACAATGTTTTCCATTTTGAACCATGAAGGGCTTTTCCTATCAATTTTAATGATAAAATTTATAAAGAAAATGTTTGAATTTTTAAACACATATAAAGAATTACATTTTAAGTACGTATTTTCTATACTTGAATTTAAGAGAAAATTAATAAAAGCAATTATGGAATCTCTTTTCCCAAGACAATAAGATGAAATTTTATTTTCAAATACCAAGTAAAGACTAAATACATTGGATCCAAGCCAAGCCCAGATGGGTTACCTTTTTTTGTTAGATAGTTCATACTGTTGGCTATGGCAGCAGTCTTGCCCCTAGAGTCCAAGGAAGAAAATCTGGCAAAATCATCCACAAAGAAGTTATCTGGGGAAAAAAAGAAAAAATTTAGACAATGGCTTCTTTAAAAGGTCCCAGGATAGGAAAGGCCAGAGGATAGTCGGGATGACAGTGCCTCGTCACTGACCCCTGCCATGGGCTGAGTGAGAGAAAGGAGACCTGCCACTGTAGCACAGAAATACAATCTAACACATGGCACTGCTGCCATGCTCCTTAAGTACTGTTAAAACCAAAGACAACCTTTCACATTTTAAATTTATTTGTTTGGATATTCTTTTCCTTTTCTTAACTCTAAATTCTCTTGTCTTCTGTTACCTAAGTGACGGAATTACAATATGACCACTATACCCATTTAGCCTACCATTCCAGCTTAATTAAAAATAAATGAAGTATTGTGTGGTGGCACACGCTTTTAATACTAGCACTTGGGAGGCATAGGCAGGCACAACTCCATGAGTTCAAGGCCAACTTGATCTATAGCTGGCGAGTTCCGGGCCAGCTAGGACTATATAGCATGACCCTGTCTTAAGCACACAAAGATACAGACAGACAGACAGACAGACAGACAGACAGACAGACAGACACAGAGAGAGAGAGAGACAGAGACAGAGACACAGACAGAGACAGACAGACAGACAGACACAGAGACACAGAACTACTTGTCTCATTCTAGACTGACTTCTGAAGGTAACCCTGGCCTGTGAAGAACTACTCGGTCCACTTTATGAGCAGGTTCTTCACACCCAAATTTATGTGGTGCTAGGGCACTGAACGAAATGCTTTGTGTGTACTAAACTAGCACTCTTACCAACTGAACTGTATCTGAACCCTCTAGATCTACATTTTACTTTTTGTTTGTTTATTTGTTTGTTTCTCTATAGCTTTGGAGACTATCCTGAAACTCACTCTGTAGACCAGGCTGGCCTCAAACTCACAGAGATCCTTGTGCCTCTGCCTCCCCAGTGCTGGGAATAAAGGCGTGAGCCATCACCGCCTGGCCTACATTTTACTTTTGTTTACCTGCTTTTCCTCCCTCCCCTGCCCAATACTAGGAATTAAGCTCCAGGCTTTGCATATGTAAGACAAGCAATTAACAGCTAAGTTAATCCACATTTTTTAAATTTTTATTTCTAAAACAAAAGCTCACTAAATTGCCTAGACTAGCCTTGAATTCATTATGGAGCTCAAGCAGGTTTTGAACTTGTAATCTTTCTGCCTCAACCTCCCAAGTAGCCATGATTACAGGCTTCCATATTTTCATTATACTGATCTACAATAGAGACTTCATATGTCTTTCCTTCCTTACAGAAGGATCATAAGGGGTAAGTGATGAGAAGCTCACCGTATTTCCAAGTGTTTGGTGAAATGCCATTGAAAGTCTGGAACAGACTCCTCATGGGTTCACCATAACTCTTCAAATCAGAGTTGTGGAGAACACCCAAATGTCCATCAGCTGCCAGTAAGGAACAGAACATTTAAGTAACTAAAAGAAATGAAATACTGACATTGGATGAACTGTAGGAACAGGCTAAACCATAAATGAGAAGCCATGCACAAAAGCGTCCAAGTTATATGGAATGTCCTGAATAGTGAAATCCATAGAACCAGAAAGCAGCTTAAATCAATATAAGACTAGGGGAGGGAGGAAGGGAATGGAACAATGACACAGGGGAGACGGGTGCAGCTTAAGTCAATAGAAAGGACTAGAGAGGGAGGGAGGGAATGGAGCAATGACACAGGGGAGACCGGGTTATGTGGAGTGATGATATGTCTCAGCATTAGACAATGGTGACAACAGCAAAAGTTTTGAGAATAAGCTAAAAAACATCAAATCATGTATTGTAAAAAGTTGAGTTTGTCTGGACGTTGGTGGCCCATGCCTTTAATCCCAGCACTCAGGAAGCAGAGGCAGGTGGATCTCTGTGAGTTCGGGACCGGCCTGGTCTACAAGAGCTAGTTCCAGGACAGCCTCCAAAGCCACAGAGAAACCCTGTCTCAAAAAAAGTTGAGTTTGATAGGGCTAGAGAGATACTGTTGGTTAAGAACACTGGCTGCTCTTCCAAAGGATCTGGGTTTGATTTCCAGCACCCACATGGTGACTCACAATCATGTGTAACTCCAGTTCCAGAGGATCTTCTGGCCTCTGCAGGCACCAGCATGCACATGGTACACATACATACATGAGGGCAAACACCCAGACACATAAAATTGAGGCTGCAGTTGTAGCAAAGTGATAAAGTACTATACTTTCTAGCATGTATAAGATTCTAGAATGAGGGCTGGAGAGATGGCTCAGAGGTTAAGAGCACTGGCTGCTCTTTCAGAAATTCTAAGTTCAATTTCCAGCAACGACATGGTTGAATCTGGTGCCCTCTTCTGGCATGCAGGCATACATGCAGGAAGAACACTGTATACATAATAAATAAATAAATCTAAGAAAGTTCATGCTTTTAAAAATGACAAACATAATGAAAAAGTTTATGCTAATTTAGAATATATTAGTTGTAGTCTAAATTAACTATGGCTATTTTTTTCAGATGGTGTTAAGAGGCAGAGGCAGATGGATCTCTGTGAGTTCAAGACCAGCCTGGTCTACAAGAGCTAGTTCCAGGACAACCTCCAAAGCCACAGGGAAACCCTGTCTCAAAAAACAAAAACAAAAACAAAAAAGAAAGAAAGAAAGGAAGGAAGGAAGGAAGGAAGGAAGGAAGGAAGGAAGGAAGGAAGGAAAGAAGGAAGGAAGAAACAAAGAAACAAACAAAGAAAGAAAAGCCACCACCCACACTCTTCTATTTTTCAACCCTCTACAACAGGGTTTTGATTTTTTTTTATTTTGTGGAAATGTCTAAATGTTTTACAACTTAAGGCAAAGAGCTTGCATTAAGAAAGGTCAGCATTTTACTTTGGATATTACTGCTTTGTTGCAAATATACACAACTCTTAAGTGTGGACAATACATACCTGATATCTAAAAACTCATCTCTGTTAACAAACAAGTCTTGGAAGTGGGGGAAAATCAACTTCAAAATGCAAGAAAGCAAAATAAAATGGAGAGGGAAAACATAACTCAAGTTCACTAATACTGAAACCCGTTAGCTAAACTCCCATGTTATCTTTTGATGTGAGGCAGCGTGTTCTGAAGATACTCCAACCTGTATAAATTCTTCATGGTAACTGGGACTGCTTGTTCTTCCTAAACTCTTGTGAGACCTTTTCAGGAACATTCTGGTACTCTTTTGAGCTCAGAGAAAGTCATTGTCATTGTGAATCCAGTTTGACAAATCTCCTAGCTCCAGTTTCCATCTTGACCAGCAAAGCCCTGTATTCAGCATACTCAGCACTGAAATCATCCTTGTAATTCTGGTGTTGCTCATAGGATACACTAGCACTAGCAATCTATTTACTGAATAATCTGCGATTTAAACTGTTGAAGAGGCTGCATAGAAGCAGTGCAACGTTCTTCAACTCCTTCACTGGGTTTACCAGAGGAGTTACTCAGCATGGCAGTTTCTTCTCTTGGATAGTCTTCTTCCAATGTCAGGCTTTTTTATTTGGTCCTTTTCATTATGAGTTTTAGACTTCATTTTAGTCCTTTTGTGAAACACTAGATGGTTTTCTCCCATCGGCTTTGGATACTTTAGCAGATCTGGACAAGTTTCCAGACAAATCCTAAAGGTTTGTTGTCTTCCAGGGCCTTGAAAATGTTACCATTTTGACTAAGTTGTCAACTAGAAGGTCTTGAGTCCACTGACCTTCTGGAGCTCTTGGGGAATAGGAGCTGGGATTTATAGTCTGAGGAGGATTTGAGACAGGCAGGTGTGTTAGGTGCATGGGAACGGCAGCAGCTATAGGGGGCAGTAGAAGGCCTGAACAGAGTTTTCACTGATGGGATTCAAACAGCCACTTAATGTCGGTGGGGCTCTTGCTAGTCAGGTGAGATAGTCAAGCTTTTTTTGTTCATTAGATGATCAACAAACTCTGAATCCAAAGACTGTTGCATCTCTGCTGGAACACATGGAAGATTCTAAACAGCTTGTGCCAGTGCTGAGGTGGATTTAGTTTTCTAGAGAGCATTAACTCCAATGACCATCTGTCTGTCTAGCTGTACCCTGGCCAGTCAGGGTGAAGCTCCTTAAACATATAATCCTTTAAGGCGTAGGGGAGGTCCTTAGGATGCAGAGTAGTCACCTGTTGCAGAATTGCTCCCAAGGAGTTGTCTTTTTGACAGACACCATCTTTCTGCAGTTGAGCAAGCAGCTTTTCTTGTAAGTGTTTAGCTCCGGTAAGTGAATGTCCCTGTGCCTATATGGCACTGAGAAACATGGCTGCCACCAAGTATGTGTCTTTTGAACTGTATTTGCAGGATTCATGGGAGTTGACATTTTTCTCTTGGGCACTCCATCTGAGATGGCTTGAGGAACTTTCCAAATGTGCACTCTTTCCCTATATATATAGTCCACAGGGTATGGTAACATCTATGCTTTGATAATGGATTCCTCCCCTGCCTAGGTCATTCTTTCTCATGTCACTGGAGAGGAGTGCAAGTAATTATCCTGTGTAAGTGTGAGGCAGTTGAGCTGGGTGACTTCAGGATTAGAGAGTATTCCATTAAAGCTTCCCTCAGGGCTATTAGCCCACATCTCACAAAGAGATGCGGACCTCACTGAGAGACTGTTTTTTGGGAATTCTGACAAGCTAAATTACTGGAAAGACAGAAACATCCTTGGAGTCCTTGGAACTGAACTGAAGGTCAAAAAGGAATGAAATTCTTGTGGCTCTACTAAAGTCTCCAGTGCCCACATCACTATTCCTCTAAGCTTCTAAAGCTGCACTGTCCTGCCCCAGCCACCCCAGCCCATAATACTGCTGCTCCTCCCAAATCCCCGCACCCTACCTTAAACTCCTTAAAGTTCCAGGAGTGCCACCAGCCCCAGCTCCTACAGTTACCTGACAATTGCAGCCTTCCTGCTGCAGGTATAATGTCATACCATACATGGCTGGTTCTTACTCTCTTTTTTAAAGATTTATTTTTAATTTATGTGTAAGAGTGTTTTGGCTGTATGCATGTATGTTTGTGGAGGCTACAAGAGGGAGGTGAATCCCACACCCAATCCTCTGCAAAAGCAGCAAGTATTATTTAATCACTGAGCCATCTCTCCAGTCCCAGAATGTATCTTTTTTAGAAGGAAAATCCTGTAACTTCAGAAGCATATATCATAATTTTGGGTTATCATCTTACTATTATAATCTAATAAATATAAGAACGTTACTGAAAAGCTCCTTACTGCTTGCTGTCAGATCCAGATACTCTCGCTTAGCTGTCAAAATCCTAGAATTGATTCTTGGAACAACGTTTGGCTGATTCATGATATATTCTACCACATCTTGATCATGCGGCAGTTCACCCTGTATGAAAGAAGAAACAGACAGGTCAGGAGCGTTAAAGGAATATCAGCAAAAATAATTCACTAGGAAAAAAAAAAAAGTAGCTCTGTAACAGCTTGTTATACGCTAAGAGCTATGTGAGCCCAGTAATGTGCACAGTGTGAACATATACACACATATCTCTATCACCACACAGGGCGCTGCTGGTAAGGAAGACAGGAGGCTCAGGAACAAGAAAGCTAAGTCAGCTTTCCATGCAGGGAGGCCTACAACCTCTGCAGAGTCACTTCTCTCTTTTCACCTTTACAGGGGCTCTAGGGAATCAAACTCAGACTGCCAGAGTGGCCCAGCAAGCTCCTGACCCACTGAGCCATTTTGCCAGCCCTTGAATTCATTTTTATATGAGGTATAAAGTAAGGACCAAATTTTGTTCTGCAGTTAAGTTGATATAGTACCAGCTGTTAAAAATGCCAGAAATGAATTTTTATTTATTTTTGGCTTTTCGAAACAGAGTAGGCCTGGCTACCTGGAACTTGCACTATATACCAGGCTGGCCTCAAATGCAGAGACCTGGCTGTCTTTATTTCCCAAGTGCTGGGATTAAAGGAATGCGCCACCACTGCCCAGCCAGAAATAAATTTTTAAAGTAAGTAGATTTGTTCTAAATGTCAATGTTGCCATACAAAAGTCTTTTGGAGACTGGGTATACTGGTACACATCATTAATTCCAACACTCAAGGTCAGATGAATCTCTGTGAGTTCAAGGCTAGCCCAGTCTATCTAGACTAGCCAATGCTACACAGTGAGACCTTGTCTTGAAAGCATTATAAAGGCTGGTGAGATGGCTCCATGGTCAGTCAGGAGCTTGCTGGGCCAACCTGCAGCCTGAGTTTGATTCTCTAGAACCCATGGAAAGGTGGAAAGATCTGGACTCCACAGTTGTCCTTTGACTTCCACACGTGGTAGCATATACAACCCCTAAACAATAATACATGTAAAAAATTTCAAATTAACTCAAAATAGGTCAAAGATTTGCCCTAACGATTTGCAATCATAAAGGTCTTAGCAGAAAACACCAGACAAAATCTTCATAACGGCTGAACAATGATTTAGCAGTACTTTCTTGGATAAAACAATGAGAGTACAAAACAAAAGGAAAGACTAAACTAAAACTCATCACAATGGAACCTTTTCATTAAAGGACATTATCAAGAGAGTAGAGAGCTGAGGCGCAGGTTCGCTGGTAGAGGACCTGCCTGGCATGCAAAGCTCTGGCTTCAATCCTTAGCAGGGCAGGACTCACTGCAGGATTCTTCAAGATAGCTAAGAGACAGAAACCCTCTAAACAGCCTGAAACTGAGTGGATAAGAGTGAACACACACACACACACACACACACACACTGATAATAATAGATGAAAGATTTAAAATCTGTGTGGAAAAGTTCTACAGGATAGTGGCGAGGGTTGCATAAAATTGTGACTGAAAATGCCAGTTCACCGAACACTGAAAGTGGGAGGATCTCATGTTTTGTATATTTTACTACAAGTCAGGTGTCTTAGCTACTTTTCTATTTCCATGACAAAACACCATGATGAAGGCAACTGAAAAAGAAAATGTTTAATTTAGGGCTCACAGTTCCAGAGGGTTAGAGTCCATGATTCTCATGGCTGGAACATGGCAACAGGCAAAAGGCCCGGCACTGGAGCAGTAGTTGAGATCTTATGTACTTATCCACAAGTAGGAGGCAGAGAGAAGTACCTGGGAAAATGGAGTGAGCTTCTGAAATCTCAAAGCCTACCCCCAGTGATACTACTTCCAATACCTCTTCCACACAACCTGATCCTTCCCCAGTAGTTTCACCAACTAGCAACCATGCTTTCAAATATACACACCTATTGAGAATTCAAACCATCACAAGCAGGTAATGGATACAAGCTATAAAAGAGGATATAAAGCTAATGGTTTTTCTAGTTCTAATTCTGTCTTGGATTTTCTTTTCTTTTCTTTTTTTTTTTTTTTGGAGGGGGATGGATAAGAGCATAAAGATATATGAGGGGCTGGAGAGATTGCTCAGTGATTTTGCACTGGCTGCTCTTTCAGAGGACCAGGGTTCAAGTCCCAGAACCCACATGGGCAGCTCACAACTGTCTGTAATTCCAGTTCCAGGGCTTCTGAGACCCTCGCACAGACATCCATGCAGACAGATCACCAAAAGAAGCAACGCAGAGTTCCCAAGGTTCTCTATTTGAGCTGAGTAACAGTTCAATAGCTTTTCCCCTGTGATATTTGCAAACACAATCAGATGAAATTGGAGAATGAGATGCTCGTTCCAAGAGGATACGAATTTCTGATGCACTCTCCAGAATCTGAAGCATGGTGCCCAGAGTACTGCACACCCCAAGAAAATTCATGAAAGCCCTCAGCTCTGATAATGAACCCTGATAATCTGTGCAAGCAATAATTGAAGGCTAAGAAGGCTGGGGTGTGTCTAAGTGTTTCCTTATCATACACAAGGCCCTAGGGTTCAACCTCTGGCACCAAACACACAGAGACAAGAAGGCTAAGAACAGCTGTCAATGCCTAGCTGAGTACTCAAGTCAAGCCGCAATGTGAACACAGAGATACTTGGGGGGAGGGGGAACCTTAGGAAAATGTGTTCATTTACTAGCTAGTTAATAGGCTAAATAAGAAGATACTGCAGAGTTCTCACACACAACAAAGAATCTTTTAAAGAAAGTCGTTATAAAACAAGTAACAACTGTAAGAACAACAAATAGCACAATAATGAACATCTCCCTTGGTTCTGGTTCAAAGAGTTATTACAGCTAAAATGTCCAATTATAACAAGAAAATACTAAACAATCAAAAAGAAAAAAATATACACATACCCAAAACAACAATAAAAAACCAAATGGCCAATATATACTGTTCTTGCAAAAACCCACAGTAGACTTAAAACACAAAGAATTTAAATATTAAAAATGCTCAAAGAACTAAAAGAAATCATGGCTACAAAACTCATTAGTACCAAATAAATAATATCAATAAAAATATATCAAATACATAAAAGGACCAATTGAAGATCAGAGTTAAGAAACACAGCTGGTGGCACACACCTATAATCCTATTACTTTCTGACGGCAGAGGCAGGAGATTGCCAGTTCTTCGACAGTCAGGGGTACACATGGAAACTTGGTCTCAAAACAAAACAAAAAAGCAGGTCTAGTGGTACTCAGACCACTAAGGCTGGAGATTGGCAACTGGAGGCCACCTTAGCCTAACACAAAAGCCCTATTTGGATATATACAAAATGACTGCATCCCCAGCAAAAAAAAAAAAGGGATCACAAACATGTATCACAAACTGTATTGTGATTACAATCCAGTCCCTGGAACCCAGGAAGTAACCTCTTGACAGTGGCAGAAGCACTGATATTCTTGATATTCACAGTGGCCCTCTCAGATCACACCAAACATAAGCTGATGCATGGTAAGCCTTAGTTTTTGCTAACACATTAACTCAGGTTTGGAGAAAGAGCCATCACACAATAAGAGGACTGGAATGTGAAGGAAGATCATAGCACCATGGGAGCACCAGGACCCCTGGAATTCTATCTACAGGGATGTTCAGAAGAGTCAAGTCCACCAATAGAAAGTCAGCTGCCAGAGGCTATGAGAAGGACAAAATGGGTTATGACTCCAACTCTTCCAGCACTGATGATGTCATCTGAAACTGGACGTGATGGCTGTACAGCTGTGTATGTACTCAGAACCACGGACGCACACATTTGAAGACATTAAGTGTAGAGCTTGGGGTGTAGATCAGCGTTAGGTTTAACTAAGCTGGTGTGCATGAGGCCCTGAGTTCCACTCCCAGCACTGCAAGTAAATGAATAAATGAAATGAAAGCCAATAAAAAGTTGAGTTTTATACTGTGTGAATTACCACTGCACAACTATTAAGTAGTATTTACATAAAAGTAAAGCATCTTTCCAAAGTCAAAATTCCTTATAAACAGAACAAAATGTCTCTTAGAAATTCCTATAATTTTTAAAAGTAAACATTAATCCTAAAACCAACAGGACTTGTTATTTCAGTGTTTAAGGGTATTTTTCTTCGACTAAGACTTTCTGAGAATCTGCAAACCAATTACTAGTGGCCTGTAGAAAATAGTATTTTTTTTTTTTTTTTTTTGGTTATTTGTTTTGCTTTTTGAGACGTGATCTCACTCTGTAGCCCTGGCTGGCCTGGAGTTCACAGAGATCCACTTGCCTCCTCCTGAGAACTGAGACTAAAGCCATGTGTCATCATGCCCAGCATAATACAGAATTGTACTGCCTACTACAGAAGCTACCAAGTATAAACCATTTGCTCTCAAAGTTGAAAATACCACTCACCAAATATACCGCCCTTTGGAAGAAGGAGGTGGTCTCCAAGATCTTGTGCATTGTAATGGTTTCCAACTCATCAGGATCTAACTGTTCCTTTTCAAAGGGCATGCCATTGAACAAGACAACAGGCAGGGGTCCAACACCAGTCTGCTCATAGTAACCTCTCGCATCCTAGAAAACAAAGGACAAAAAGAAAGCACATGTTCGCCCTCACACACACATAGAACAAAACATAGTGTCTTACATTTCTGTTTAAATTAAAAATAAAAAGTTAACAGAGCTAGCAAAATGACTTAGTAGGTAAAGACACTTGCTGTGTAAGCCTGGCAACCTGATTTGGTCTCCAGAACCCATGTAACAGACTCTAAAAAGTTTTTGTCTGACATCCATATGTATGAACACAATAATAACAGATAAAAATAATTAAAAATAACAAAATTCAAAAGAAGGGCTAGAGTGGTGACTCAGTCATTAAGAGCACTGTGACTCCTGCAGAGCCCCTGGGTTCTGTTCCCAGCACCCACATGGTAGCTAACTACCTGTAAAGGCAGTTCTCATGGCTCCGCCATACAAGTGTAGCATATATATTCACAAATATAACACACAAATAAATAACTCTTTAAAAAAATAACAAAATATAGCAAAAGAAATGACTACAGATATTTCTTTCTTTTTTAAGCAGTATGGAAACCAGACAATTTGTAAGTTAATTTTTAAGAAAGTGGTATCATAGTTATTATCTTGCTTGGTAAATGTGAAATTAAATTGGTGAACTTTAAGAAATAGAAACTTTACATACTAGGGAATGTGTATATGTTTGTCTTATGTGTGGGCAGTTCTCTAGGCTTTTAAAACTGCATCATGTGCTAGGTGGCAGTGGCACATGCCCTTAATCCCAGCACTTGGGAGGCAGAGGCAGAGGCAGGTGATCTCAGTGAGTTTGAAGCCTGCCTGGTCTACAGAGCAAGTTCCAGGACAGTCAGAACTGTTACACAGAGAAACCCTGCCTTGAAAAACAAACAAATAAACAAACAAAAAACAGCATCATGTATACAATGCTCATCATTATACAATAAAACTTTCTGCAATTGGTGGGAGCAGACCGTCCACTACCCCAGTACAGGGCTTACTGACAGCCAGCAGCAGGCTCAAGCCCAAAGGACAAAAGAGCCCCAGAGAACTGTTAACAACACAGTGGTAGCTAAGCAGAATGGGCTAGCTGAGTTAAGCAGGGAAGCAGCAAGTAGCTGCAAAGGTCACTGCAGCAGCTGGGGGCACAAAGAAACTTGCTTCTTTAGTTTCTTCACCTCTGCAGAGGCAAGAGACTTGTAGGCCTGACTGTGAACTTTGAGCAACTTTTCCTCTTCAGGCTCAGGGAGGGCTCTTTCCCTTCTTCAGCCAGATTTACAACTCTTCCCTGATTAGTCCTATTTTTTCTTTCACTTTATTTGCACACTCAAATTAAGTCAAGCAGACATTTCTTTAAATTTGGACATTCAGGGGCTGCAGAGTCTTAATGGCTACAGGCAGCAACAGAGGAAGATAAGGAAGATTTCAGAGTCCAGCTCAGCTGCTCCAGCTTTCTTCAGAGGAGACCTGAGGTGCTTGGCGTCCAGCTCCTAGCCAGGCTGCTCAATGGAGAAGCAAAACCACTTGGGAGAATTGCCAGAGACAGATTTGTTGGCTCCCTGCGCTGCAGTTTCTGGCCCAGGCTGGGAGCCCACTCCAACCTGACTCAAGGAGTCAACTGCCATCAACAGGCAAAGGGATTCTTTGCACATCTTTCCATATGAAGATGGGTTGCAAAAGGGAACTGGTTCTTACATTCTTACAGTTGTTTCAAAGCCACAAGACCTTGTTTACTAAGTTATAACTATTAACTTTGATAGCACTTTTTAAAAACCAAAGTATAGCAAGTATTTTCTAATATTCTCAAAATGTAAAAATAAATGTTGTTTTGGATGTGGGTATGTAAATATGTATGGACTGGTCGCAAAGTACTTGGTCCTATGTCACCCCTCTCTCACCTTCACATGAGTTTGGAGGCTCAAACTCAGCCCACCAGGCTTGTAGAGTAAGCATCTGTACTAATAAGCAATTTCACTGGCTCTGGTTATTACACGGTTTTCCTTTTTTTTTTTTTTTCTTTGTTTTTTTTTCAGACAGGGTTTCTCTGTGTAGCCCTGGCTATCCTGGAATTTGCTCTGTAGACCAGGGTGGTCTCAAACTCAGAGATCCACTTGCCTCTGACTTCAGAGTGCTGGGATTAAAGAGGTGCACTGCCACACCCAGCTAGTTAACATATTTCTTAAAATGGACACGTCTGGAGCCTGAACAACGATGTTAAGTCAAATTATACATATTGTGCCATACACCTCCTCCAGGTTCTATGCTTCCAATAGGTTTTATCCAGAACATACTTCATACAAGTACTACTATTATATTACAAAAAAGTAATTGTTTCCCAATTTAAAAATTCACATGCAAGTTTTAAAAAAAAGTACTATTTTCTGAAATGGAATCACTTTTCAAAGACTGACAAGCGAGGCCAGGAGTGGTAGCAACATGCCTTTAATCCCAGCACCATAGGGTAGAGACAGACACTCTCCAAGAGCTCAAGGCCAGCCAAGGGCTGCACAGTAAGATTCTGTCTTTAAGAGGGGGGAGAGGGGGTACTAAAAAGTGGTCCATCTGCATTCTGACATGCTAAGTACCGGGCACTTTAACAACACCCCACTACAGACACCATCCAATCCAAGGATAGTCCAATGCTGCAGTCAAGTTAAAATACCAAGGAAGTAAGTTCTAAAGAATGTGTTACCTTCCGGTTCTGATCATAAGCAGAATCAATCCCCAGAATGCTATTCACTTCGACATATGGGTATTTCTTCTCCAAGATACTGACCACATGCTCAACTTTCACTTTTTCTCCAGTCCTCACCTTGTTATAGATCTAAAGAAAGAAAAATAGGTAGCCAACTACACTTTTAAATCCAAATTTCAAATGAGATGAAATCACCAAATACATTAGAAAAATAAGACTATTTTTCTTAAAAAGCAAACTGGAACTTCTTAGCAACACTATCATTTCAATATTTCTCATAAGACACCTCTGCTTAAGAAGTGAAGATTTGTCTTTCTTTTTTTTTCTTTCTTTCTTCCTTACTTTTTTAAGGACAGAGTATTGTCATGAAGGCCTGGCTAGCTTGGAACTTGCTATGTAGATCAGGCTGGTCTTGAATTCAGAGATGCCCATGCACCTGAGTGCTAGGACTAAAGACTTCTGGAAATGACTCTATCAGCTCATAAGCACATCAGATACCAAATGCAGGAGGCAAAAATGCTTTAAGAAGTATCGGTAGTCAGGTGTGGTGGAACATGCCTGAATGAACAAGCCCCTGGGGAGCAGAGGGAAGTAGAGCCAGAGTTTTAGGCTAGCCTGGACTATATATAATATAGGCTAGCCTGGACATTATCTCAGAAGAAAGAAAAAGCAACCAGGTGTGGTGCTGCATATCTAACACACTAGCACTGGGGAGGTAAATGCAGGAAAATCAAGAATGCAAGGTCATCTTCAACTACACAGTTTGTTCAAGGCTAGCCCTAGCTATATAAAACTGTCTTTAACAAAAAAAAGAAAAAAGAGGGGATGAGAAGAAAAGAAGGTGGAAAGGAACCATGAGATAGTCTCAAAAGAAAAAAAGACTGACTTAAAAAAAAAAAAAAAAAAAAAAAAGAGAACATTACATTGGCCAAAGGCATTAACTGATAATTTCACATAATCAAAGTGTGCAATGCTCTAATGCACTAGTTAGACTCCTGATGCTCTAAAGCACTAGTCAGAACTGATTCTAATGGTCAGCACTATGGCTTAACAAGCCTGACAACCAAGCTTGATCCCCAGATCCTACGGTAGAAGGAAAGAACCCACTCAGAAGGTCATTCTCTGGACCTCCATACATGTACAGGAGCACACATATGCCCCTCAATAATAAATTCTAAACATTAAATAAACACTGCACTCTATTATATTCATGACTTAATAAAGTATAAGGAACCCTGAAACATAAAACATAAGAGTTTATGCAGGAATTTACTTTATAAAACTGTTTTAGAATAAGTTAAAAAGTATTTGCCATTTTGAACAAAAACATACGTGTGTGAGAGTCTGGAAGGCGTGATAACCATCCACTTCTTGGACAACATAATTATATGCTCTCAGAACAGCGACTCCAGCATCTTGCAAGCCATCAACATCTTCCGAGTCATTGACCACAAAGATAAAGCCAATCCTGCAGAGAAGAAAAAAGGCACCTTAAAAAAGGCAATCAGCTAGAGGCAGGTGCCCACCCCACCCCCCTGCTGTCCATTCCTAACCGAAAAGCACAGCCCACATCCCACTCTAAACTCAGATGGCAAAGGTACACACACACATCGTTTACAAAAAAAAACGCAAGAGTAGGGTAACAAAACAGGTTAGGCTTTTCCACAGTTAAAGCTGTTTGAATAGATTTCTTTACTGACATGAAGAGCATTGCCACAGTGATAGGTATTAGTTCTGTTCTGCTTTTAAATTGAGGACTGGAGAAATAGCTCAACTATTAAGAGCACTAGCTGCTCTTGCAGAGTACCTGGGTTCTATCCCAGCACCCACAATCACATGGCTCACAAGGGTCTCTATCTCCAGTTTCAGAACATCTGATGTCCAATTCTTGCCTTTGTGGGTACTGCACAAATGTGTTATACATACAGACAAGCAGGCACATACACATAAGGAATAAATTAATTTAAAAAAACCCAGAAATTGGAGTTGAAAAATTAAATATAACTATAGCAAAATAAAAGGAAGCCAGGAAGGCAGTGACGCCTAATCCCAGAACTCAGGAGGCAGAAATAGGTGGATCTGTGAGTTCAAGGCTAACGAGGTCTACAAAGCAAGTTCCAGGATAGCCAGAACTGTTTCAATAAACGAAAGCAAAATGAAAATCAACTGTCCTACATCACACAAAGACGACTTTCACTGGGCAGGCTGGGCACCTGGACTGAGAGCAATGCAGAAAAGGTCATGCCAACAAATGATACTGGAACATGCAAAGCAGTGAACTTAGATATAAATTTGCTCTTCACAAAAATAAATGGAAAACAAGACCTACAAAACTCCTAGAAAATATCAGGGGGAAAACCTGATAGGTGATCTCAGGTTTAGCTAATGACATGTTAGATCCAAAAAGCATGAGCCAGCTAGGGAGACGGCTTAATGGGCAAAGTGCTTGTTATGCAAGCATGAGAACCCAACTTCAGATCCTTAGTATCATGTAGAACTAGGCACATGGGCATATGTCTGTTTCCCAGTGTGAAGAGGTGGAAACAGAAGAATCTTGGCAGGGGACGGGGACCTCTCTGGCTAGCAGCCTAGCCAATCTGTGAGCTCCAGGTTCAGTTAGTGTAGCAAAGATAACTGAGGGAAGAAAACTGAGGGAAACACCACCAACATCAACTAGGTAGACTTCATTAAAGTTTAAAACTTCTGTTTTGTAAGCCTCCAATAATGGTCCATTCCTTTAATCCCAGCACTTAGGGAGGCAGAGGCAGGTGGATCTCAGTGAGTTCAAGGCAAGCCTGGTCTACAAGCAGAGCTACATAGTGAGCCCCTGTCTTAAAAACCCAAACTCCCACAAAAAAACAAAAACAAAAATTACCTGCTTTGAGAAAAAGGAAAAAAAAAAAAAAAACTATCGAGAAAAGGAAGGAGAAACCACAGACTAGCAGAAAATACATGAAAACACCTATTTGAAAAAGGACTGATATGAAAATATAAACATGACTCTTGAAACTCAATATTAAACAAACTTTTTTTTTTTTTTTTTTTTTTTTTTGTT